AATAGCGAGGGAATAACATGGACCTGGCCATAGAACAGCTAACTGATCCCCCAAATGGGGGGTGGGGGGGCAATATATGACTATGTATGTATGTATGTGTGTATCTGTCTATCTATCTATCTATCTATCTATCTGTCTGTCTGTCTGTCTTTACTTTTTTCTTTAGTTGATTTTCTAAGTGAAAATAAGTGAACAAATCGTCAAAGAGAACATTTGTGAATTTTAGAGCATATGTTCTATTTATTTGCTGAGTTTAACATACTAGAAAAATAAAGCATACAATACAAAATATAATATGATGTAAAACAAATATGTTAAATTCAGCAAATAAACAGAAATAAATTGTGTATTAATATGTGCAGAAGTGTGTTTCCTGTAGAGGATGCATACTTTTTGTGTAATTTGAAACAAAACATAAAATGTGGCTGGTGCAAAAGATATGGAATATATCATATTTTATGTTGTATTTTTTCTAATATGTTAAACTCATCAAATAAATAGAAATTGTGCAGAAAAATGCCACACTTAAGTATGTTCCCTGTAGAAGGTGTCTTAACTGCTTTTCACTTAGAAAATCAACAAACCACGTAATTTGACCAGGAGTGATAAAACTTTTGCATACGACTCCATGCATGCATCCAATCATCCATCCATCCATCCATCTGTCTCCTGACATCTTTGTTGTTTGGGTGTCATGACAGCAGTGTAACCAAACAAACAGAAACAGCTGAGTATTTATATTTTGAACCCGAAGAGCATAAAGAAAACATGGTCTGGGTCAGTTTCTGCCATTCAGGTTTTTACTTTATCAATGCAGCACTTGCAAAGCGTAATGACTGCAAAAAATGCTTTATTTGAAAAGGAGAGATTCTAAACTTTAAACAGTATTTCATACAGTATGTCAATATGCAGTAAACTGCCATTAACTGAGCATTCTCAGACTCAGAGTAAATAACACACAATGCTCTGTACAGTCAGTACAACCAAAAACATACAGGTGCAACATTTGTTTTAGATGAAAAAGTTTTAATTTACAAATCTAATACACACCCATGTTGTTTTTCTTCAAACATAACATAATGTGCAAGAAGACTGAAGATTCTTTACAGACAGGAATGAAACAGAGAAAATGATATGTAACATAAAAAGTACATTTGAATACACAAATCTAGTAAATGCATTCAGACTGAATTTTGTCTTCACATTTTGTTTTCCCCACTTTGAAGGTATTTTTCTCTCTACAAAGTCTAAAACACAGCATCACTTCAAAGTACAAAATACTTTTTTCAGAAACATTCACTGTAAATGAAAAATAGACATCACCAGTAATGTTCATCCTTAATATACATTTAGCTTAAACACCACATCTCAGATCTACAAAACATACAGATTACAGAATTATGACATAAAAACCTGCTCATTGAAGCTGAGCCCAAACATTTCCCACGGTTTTCGCAATCTCTTGTTTACATCGCAACAAACAGAATGTGAACTGAGTGGGTTTTATCAGCTGGGTTGAGGTGAATAGAGGTAAATAAAAGAAGCAGAAAATGCATTTACTGGGATATGTCATGTCATGTGTCTTATGAAAACAAAAATTCTGACTTCTTATTAGAGGGTGGTTATTGGCTCAGTTTGAAGCTACTAAGTACTGACAGGATAGAGAGAAATAGAAATAAAAGAGAAAACATTGATTTGTAAATCTGATTTGTATTCGATTTGTATTTAAACAAAAGCAGTACAAATGTAAAAATATATTTAACATTTCATCTTATCAACTTCATTGTTTTTTGTATATGCAGTGATGGAATAATGCTTGAGTATAAAAGGAGCAGGAAAGGCCTAATCCTTTATGAGAATGGGTAGCGAGGCTTATCACTTTGCCAAAAAAACTGGCAACTGATTTACAACAATTTTTAAAGTTTTCTCAACAAACATTTGCAAGGATTTTGAGTATTTCAATATTATCAACAGATTCAGTGAATCTGGAAAAATCTCTGTGCGTAAAAAGCAAGCCCAAAAACCACAAGTGAATGCCCATGACCTTCGATCCCTCAGGCAGCACTACATTAAAAACTGGCATTGTTCTGTGATTGATATCACCACATGGGCTCGGTAAAGTTTTAACAAACTGTTGTCAACAAATACAAGCTAAGACAGTACTAAAAAGCAAAAAGGAAAAAAGAAAAAGCCAACAAATACGAAGCCAAATTCAGACTTGTTTGAAAAAGTTGATCAAAAATGGTTTCTTTTCAAAGAATTTTGACCACAGTAATAATTTTCTCAGTACATCACTCCAAGTTGCCCCTCTCCCCTCATTATGTAAATATAGGCTGGTGGTAAGATGTGTTGAGGCATTAGTCAGCTGTAATCATTTGTCAAGCTACCCAATATTACTTAACAATGTATTAAGTAATCTATGAATTTTCATCAAATCACTATAATCTGCAGCTGCTGAAATATTGGGTAAACTGCATTTTGCATAGTTTAATCTCACTATATCCTTTATCATCAGCTTTAGTGCTGCTTTGGTTAAACTCAAGTGGAGAGGAAAACTCTCGACTCCAGCAGCAAGAGTAAAGAGTCGGAGTTGACCCCAGAAAACCCAGAGTCGTGCATCATAGTTATGTAATAATAATATGACTTGGCAGGCATTAAAAAAAATATTTTTTAGCTCAAGTAAAGAAATGTGTGTAATAAACTTTTTGTCTCTCAGCAACATCATTGGCCGCCATGTTAGCACCAAAATAAGACAAGCTTTTCTCAGGCATTAAATAACAAAGAGTCAGTATTTACTATCAGCCTGAGTAAATCAAAATAAAACAAACTTCTCCCAGTACTTTATGCTTTGAGCAGGAAACTCACAAGAGAGCAGAAGACTTAGATGTTATCACTGGCACTAAGAGATGGCACACCTGCAGATTAGTTATGCTAGGAATGCCAGGAATGTTATCTGGACAATTACAAAAATACTCTGCTAAAATAAATGCAGGTATGTTTATGTTCTATGTTACAAGCATTTTAGTGGCAGTAGGTGCCTAGCAGCTAACTGTTAACAAAACTAGCATAGCTAGCATATAGCAACATAACTAAAACTCTTACTCAGCTACATAAATACACTTAAGGCCACTAAAAATTAACTAACGGGGTTGTTTGACTTACAAACTGAACGTATGTTAAGATTAAAAGAATTGTTTTCCGTGAATAACCGGTTTATTTAAAATTGACAAAATTGTATATTACATTTCGGTGAATGAAAACTGTTTACATTGATCCAAAGAGAATTTCATTCCAATAAATCCCAAACGTTTCAGTTGCACTGACTTTTTTTTTTTTTCTCAACAACTGAACTATGTTAAAGTAACAAAGCCTATGTACACTGACACTACTTAATATAATTGAATGGAAATGTGTAGCATTATTGAATAAGTTCACACAATTTATATTTTTTGAATGTGCATACTCTTAGGCTAAAGACTAAATTAAATTTCATGTTAATACTTTTCTTTTGGCAATTCAACTAGGGTACCTACTTTGTTTACATCAGAGGTTATTTTAAAACAACTGATTATAGACTAGATTTATTTCAGGTTTAATGTACAGATTTTCAGTGGGTCAGAAGTTTACACACCAAGTTGACTGTCTCTCTAAACAGTCTGGAAGGTTCCAAAACCTGAGGTAATGACTTTAAGAAGCTTTTGTTTGGCCACTTGTCATAATCAGGAATTCACTGGAAGTGCACCTGTAGCTGTATTTAAGGACTATCTTTATATACAATGCCCTTGATACCATGGGAATGTCCAAGCAACTTAGCCTCAGAAAAAATGTGGACCTCTGGTTCCTCCTTAGAAGCAATTTCCAAACAACTGAACATACCATGAGCATATTTACAAACAATTGTATGTGAATCTAAAAATCTTGGGACCACACAGACACTGTTCACAAATTAAGTCTCTCGGCTGAACAAAGCTTTTGGACCAAAAGCTTCAACAAAATCCCAGGACAGCAAAAAAAGGAATGAGTGAAGAAGTTGGAGACATCAGGTAGCAAAGTATATATATCCACAGTTAAGGGAGTCCTATATCACCATGGCCTTAAAGACTATTGCGCAAAAAGAATCCCCAGTTCCAGAATAAGGCCACAAAAAAGCTTGACAAGAGTTTGCAGGCGATCACTTGTACAAAGACCTCGCCTTTTGGACGAATGTTCTCTGGTCAGATGGAAGAAAAAAATTAACTGTTTGGCCATATTGATTTGATTTATGCATGGAGAAAAAGGATGAGGTTGAGGTGAGAAAAAATATCATCTCAACTGTGAAGCATGGGGGTGGCAGCATCATTTTGCGGGTGTGTTAAGTGCTTGTGCACTTAATAAAATAGATTAGGAAGAAGGATTATCTAGAAAAACCGAAGCAACACTTCAAGACTGTGGTCACTAACTCTTCTCCTGGAGATCTACCTTCCTGCACTTTTCACTTCCAATCCAAATTTACTACACTTCATTCAGATAATCAAAGTCATCTGAAGGTAACAATTAGATGTTTTATGTAAGATAGCAGAGCATTCTTCCGAAGTTGTGACAAAATGTCTTAAAGCCAGCAAAGTGGAAGTACAGGACAGGCCCTCACAAAGCCCTAATCTCCTTAAAGATTTGTGGACTGAACTGAAAAAGCATGTCTGAGCAAGGAGGCCCACAAATCTGACTGGGCAAAGTATTTTGAGAAGTTTGTGAAAAGCTACCCCAAGCGTTTGATTCAAGTTAAGCAATTAAAAAGGCAATGCCACCAAATACTGACCAAGTGAAAGTGAAGTTTTGAACCACTGATAATCTGATGAATAAATCAGTAAATGATACATTCTAGCTATTATTTTCACCACTAATGCAAATAAAGTACTTAATCTAAGTTGGTTAAACAAATGAACCTTAGTAAAGATGACTGAGAAACAGATGCTGAGAAACTCGAACATCTCAATGGGTCATGTCTCTGAGTTCCCTCAGCATTTACAGCATATGGTTTGGGACAGAACACAAAGTACCTTTAAGTGATGATTTTGCATATATGTAGCTTATTACTATCGCAATGAATTCTTTGGGTTCAAATATATCATAGCATAATCTTTGTAAATATCTAAGGTCTGGAACCACAGTTTGAACTAATTCAGTAGAATGCTCCATATATTGTTACATACATCTGGTTAAAATGTCTTTAGGCATCAAGATGTTATGTTTTTTGCCCTATAGTTGTCACAGCCACGTATATGGCTATAGCAGGTATATGCTTAGTTTTTTTTCTAGTGGGTAGTGAAGGGTGAAGCACAACCTGACACAGGGTCAAATGTAGCAGCATTCACTGCAATATTATTGTAATCACCCTCTTGTCTGTAATATAGCACCATTTTGAAGCAAATTAAGAGCACACAGTGACAGCTGGCAAGGCTAAAGTACAGCCCCCACATGGCAGGGTTAGTTTTAACAGTGTTACTGTGGCAGGGATGTGGGAAGGTGTTTCAAGTTGGGGGTGCTGACAATTTAAGTAGCATATATATGACGTGAACGAAGATGTAAAATTATTTGCTTTTTTTTAGTTTGCTAATTTACATCAAAATGTGTCATACAGTACAATAATGAGGCAAAAGATGTGAAACTTAGCAAATAAAAAAAATTGTGCACTAAAGTAAGCAAACAAATGCCACACTCAATTTTGTAGATAACTTACTTTTACTTAGGAAATCAACAAAACATTTTTCTGGGAGTGTTCAAACTTCTGGATACAATTGGAAGCCTGTTTGGTTTAAACAGCATAGAATTTTATTGAATTAAAAGTGTTTGCTTAAAATTAACCAGATCTTTGACTGTTACAACTGGTTCCCCAGGCTCTTACAGTTAACCCTGACTAAGGAGTAAAATTTGTATTCACTCCACTTCATCCTGATATAGCACACACCTGCATACTGCAAAGAATGCATCTCTGATTAAAGTTAATACCATATTTGAAGCTTCTGCTACCAAACTGCCATGAAAGTGGGAAAAGAAATGAGGGCAAAGATTTCTAAAGCGTGAAACAACAAAGCTTTAAGTAAATAAAATGCCTGCGTTCTTTGAATGATCTAGAAATGGATGATCTTTTCCAAAGAACACCTGTGTAAAGGCTCAACCCACAACAGATTTTGAAACTCAGGGACATTCCTGACAGGTTATCGCTCAGGTGAACTCAACCCTGAACTCAGATCCAGCTTGATAGAATTTGAAGTTCTCATTTTACAGACACTGCATAGACAAAACAATGCTGGCGTCAGCATTCACATTCCTTTTTTCAGCATTGACACTCTTTTTTTCAGCATTCACATTCCTTTTTTCAGCATTGACACTCTTTTTTTCAGCATTCACATTCCTTTTTTCAGCATTGACACTCCTTTTTTCAGCATTCACATTCCTTTTTTCAGCATTGACACTCCTTTTTTTCAGCATTCACATTCCTTTTTTTCAAAGGTCACCCTTATCAAATACACAGATTAGGCTTGTCAGCATGGTCAGGTTTGTGAAAAAGGTCTTTATCCTTTAGTGACCACAGTTCGGGCTGGTTGTCCCTCGTTTCCTTCAAACCAAGACACAATCATTAGTGAGGATTAAATGCATACTGAAAAGGCATTTTAGTTTACAAAATGACACTTTAATGCTCACAGATGTTTCAGTTCTAATCTTAACCCTTAGGAGTAGCAGTTATCACCTCTGTTCACAGAGAAACTTTGTCGGAAATACAGTTTCTAAAGTTTAATACAATGTTTGCGCATGTGAGTACAAGCTCAATTCCAAAATGTTAGGATGGCATATGAAATGCTAATAAAAACAGAAAGCAGCGATTGGTAAATTCTTTTCACCTGTATTGGATTTAGAATGTTATAAAAACATGTTTTACCTTCTGAACTTTTGTTCCTTACCTTGTGAACTTTTTTGTTCATTGTTTTTTTGTAAATATACACTCATTCCAAATGTATTGCCTGCAACACGTTCCAAAAAAGTTGAAACAGGGGCATGTTTACCATTGAGTTACATCACCTCTCCTTTAAACAACACTTTATAAATGGTTGGAGACAGAATATACAAACTGATCCAGTTTTGAAAGTGTAATTTTATGCCGTTCTTCTGTTATACAAGTCTTTAACTGTGCATTTGTACGGGGCCTTTGTTGTTGTATTTTGAAGTAAATCATCTGCCGCAAGCAGGCCAGTCTAGCACCTGTACTTTGATTTTGCAGCCATGCTCAAACAGGCAAAATGCTGCTTGGCATTGTCATGTTGAAATCAGCATTGACGTCCCTGAAAAAGACGTCGTCTAGAAGGCTGCATATGCTGCTCCAAAATGTGTTCAGTATTAATGCTGCCTTCACAGTTGTGTAAGTTACCCAGTAATACCCTCCCCTACCATGACCCTGAGTTTTGAACTTTATGCTGGTAACAATCTAGATGATCCTTTTCTTTTTTGGCCTGAAGAACACAATGTCCATTATTTCCATAAACAGTCTGAAAGGCTGACTTGTAAAAGCACAGTATGCACGTTTCACTGTGCATCAGTCCATTTCAGATGAGCTTGAGCCCAGAGAAGTCAGCAGTGTTCCAAGCATTGTTGATATATGGCTTCTGCTGTGCATAGTATAGTCCTAACTTGCATTTGTGGATGCAGCATTCCTGAGCTCATGCCGTGATATTCATAACAGAAGCAATAATGCAGTGCCAACTGGGGGATCGAAGGTCATGGGCATTTAGTTGTGGTTTTCAGCCTTGACTTTTTTTTTTACACACAGATTTCTATGGATTCCCTCATTCTCTTGATGTTATTATGCACTAAAGGGGGTGAAATACCTAAAATACCTGCAATCACTCGCTGAGAAGCATTGGGCCTTTTACACTAACTGTTCTTAAGAGGAAATTTCTTCTTCAAACCCACTTACTCAGTTTTCACAAAGCTTCTGACATTCACCAGTGTTTTCTTATTTGGGATTTGTTCTTATATAAGAACAGAATTTATTCACACTCAAGAGCACAAAGGTGTGAACAGTTCTGCACTTTAGGAACACGTCATGAATCTGACATAGATTTTTTCTAAGGCCCCATTTTTCAAGAACAAATTTAAGAGAAAACTTAGGTATTGGTGAATGAGGCCCATTGTTCTTAAACTGTCAGATTTTTTCCTGGTGCATCTTTGGCAAAGTGGCAAGTCTCGACTCACCCTTGTTCAGGCTTTTCCTGCATGCTCCTTTTATATCCAAGCATGATTCTATCACCTTTTTAAGACGTTTTTTGAACATTTCATAGTGTTCCTAGTCTTAAATTGCCCTTGTGCCAACTTATTTAGAACATGCTGCTGGCATTAATTTCAGAATGAGTGTTTGTTTACAAAAGATAATGAAGCAGATAAAACATTTTATGTCTTTGTACAATTGCCATTCAAATTCTAGTCTAAGTAGATTCATGGATCACTGCAATTGGTTTTTATCTGCATTTTACCTACTGTCTCAGCTTTTTTGGAACTGGGTTTGTGGAAGAGGAGATATCTTATTATGATCTGAATTTGAGGAAACGTTACTGTTGAACAGACAATATTGTCTTGTGTAAAGAAAAACCATCTTTGTCCTTTTGCGACACTGAAACTAATGAAAAAAGTGTAGATTCAAAGCTTACTGAATGTAAATCAAATGTAAAGGTAAACTAGAGATGTTCCAATTCAATTCAAAGGATTGGGATCTGAGTCAATCTAGGAATATTTGATTTGATTAGGAATCGGCAGTATTAAGCATGATCCAATTCCAATCCTTTGTGCATTCTGTTAACTTCACTGCTCTAAAAGTGAAAGCATAACCTGCAGCAGTGTGGCACATTTTTAGAAGTTAATATAGAAATCTAAATGATGAGCAGCATGCCGCTAGAAGCATGTACAAACTAAACTCCACCCCCAGGGGTCATGTGGCTTGTGGTTTTAAACTGGCATTAGTAGTTCACAGCGGCAAAAGTTTAAATGCCCTCAGACTAATTACGTTTTGTTGATTTTCTAAATGAAAATAAGTTAACACATCTCCTACAGAAAATTACCTAAATTACCTGTATTATCTATAAAAACAAAGATCAGATCAGATCACATTGGTATCAGCTGATACTCAGCATTAATGTATTTGGATCTGATTCTGGGGACAAAAAAATGGATTGGGACATCCCTAGTTATTACATTTAAACAGTATATCCAAACCAAAGTCATACCTCATGTCTTCTAAGGGTTAACCGCTTATAAAGTTTTATAACATATTGTAATTAGAGATGGCATATCATTATTGATGGATATCGGTCTGATATCAGCAGAACATTCTGGACTGGCCTTTCACAGTTACTACACAATTATTTGTTATGAGTCATTTTATTTGAGGTGAGTCACTGTCCTCAGTCGTTAGATTTCACAACTGGTGTACGTTGCAACAAGCAGAATGTGAATTGGGTTTGGTGGTTTGAGGAAAATATATGTAAATAAATGAGACTGGTTTTACTTTGTTTGGATAGGACACGATAGCCTCCTTTAGATTATCTACAAATGTTCAAATTGTTAACAAACTATTTGGTGAAACTGAGTTTATCCTCAACAGCTGCAGGGTTAAGGTTAGGAATTGGGCAGAGGTTAAAGTTAGGACCAGGGTGAAGGTGAGGCAAAATCACGGTGAATTTAACAAATATTTAATTGCATGCATGTTAAAGGTAAGCAAAGTATCTTCTAAGCATCAGTACAGTGTACTACACAAAGTGGTATCAAGGAACCAGTATAGATTCATTAAGACATCATTGAGCTTATGGAAACAAAAAAGCTCTAACTTCTAACTTACAGCTTGCTTATTTAATAGCTATGTGGCTAATTCTAACATTTGTATCATGCATGCTAGCTGAATGACTGTCCTATATTTTCTTATATTTTCTAGTTTTGCATGACTTTGCAAATCTGTGTAACTGTTGACATTAGTGTGAGTATGTGTGAGCGCAACAACAACAGGTTGCGCAAGATTAAGTTTCCGTTCATCTGTCTACTTTTAGATGATTATGTTAGGTGAAGTGCTTCAGTTAATGTAAAGGTTTTAAATAAAACATTATTTGAATTAGTATCAGTATCAGCTGATACCCAATGGTCCAGTATTATAAGAGAAAAAGTGGTATCGCACCATCTCTAATTGTAGTCATAAATCTTTTTGGAATGACTAAAATAACTGATGATCATCTTGGCATGAAAAGATGTTCAGGCAGAAAGAACAAGTTTGCTTACATTTCTTCTGTTTTGCCGTTTGATAATCCACACAGATAGCCAGATCAAAAGGACCACCAGTGATCCGCACACCACAGAAACCACCGGAACATTCCAGAAAACTTCAAGAGCTCTCTGCATATGGGGGCCAGTGACTGGGGGGGGGGAGAAAATAAACAATATGAGTAATGGATGCTGTCCCAGTGACTCAGGTAGTGTAACATGGCATGAATGTCGCATATAATCTTTTCTTAAGTACCTGGAACTGTTTTCATTGCAGCATTATAAGATGATGCATGATAAAAAAAAAGGTATATATATATATATATATATATATATATAAAGCAAAAAAGAGGAAAAACTGGAGATCAAAAAAATGATTAAATGATACAGAGAAAATGGGACTCCTAACTAACACCCAGATAGACCACCACAACTGTCACCATCACATAAACAATACTAAAAGCTTTAATCTTTGAGAGAGAGAAGAAAAGCTGCACTCTTGCTTCAGATCTGAAATAATCCACAGGTGTTTCTGTCCATCCTTCCACTGTGAGAAGACAACTTAGTGCTATGGGTCTAAGATGTGTAGCTGTCAAGAAGCCCTTACTGAGAAAAAGAAATGGATAAAAAAGAAGAAAAATTGCAAATCTAACAAAGAAGTTGCTTGTGTTCTCAGAACAATGGACTGACCATCCAAACCTTAACGTCACAGGATGTGGTTGGGATTAATTGTATGATGAAAAGCAGAAAATGCAACCAACTTCTAAGACTGAACTTTGGAGGTGTGGAAAAATATTCCTGCAGATTTCTTTGAAAAACTGAAAGCAAATTCTGAAAAGAATGGAAGCTGCAAAAATGGACCCAATTTTATTCATCAACTAAATATAGAAATGTGGTATTATTTTATTTATTTTTTTATTCTCTGCTGAGGCTGAAAAACTTACACTTATAATGGCTGTTTTGACTGGAAATGAAATCATTGAAGGGTGGTCTCTGGCTTTCGCACAGTACAGTATGTGAATGTTTTTCCTTTAAACTATAAAAAGATTGCACTCACACAGCTAATTTACAAGCTGTTCTTTATAAAACATCTATTGAAATATCTGGTAACATTTTACTTGAACCCTGCTACATAACATTGACATAACCATGCCATAAACATCTTATGGTAGATGTCATATGCTGTCATCAGTTGTTATGACTGACTGTGTCCAGTAATGAACAGTATCAGGTTATCTTTACTGTTAATTGTCATGACAGGGGTGGTAATGTTTGATGTTGGCTAACTAGAGTACATGTACCAAAATCATGACACTGGTAATAGTAACATAACACTGTTATGTTACTGAACAAAATTTGCTATGATGACTCGTCAGCATACATCTTTTATGACTTGTAAATGCATGGTTATGTCAGTGTTATGTTGCAGGGTTCAAGTACTGTGTTACCAAAGGTTCTTTAGAAACTCAGCATTGGTCATTCAAGACTCCTAAGAACTCTTTATGGCACCTTTATTGTTAAGAGTGTAGCCCCAACTGTGAGGATAAATTATCTCCTAGACAAACACAACCATAGCAGTGGAATCTCGCTAGTATGGGTGAAAGTGAATGAAATCATGCAAATTTATTACAAATCATGTAGACAGAATGACAAGCCAGGATTTATGTCTGCTTCTCCCCATTCCCCAGTGAAACTGCACCAATTTGTCACCACCGTATAATGGCTGCAACTTGTCTGGACACGACTACTAAGAACCAGAGGATTGGGTCTATAATTTCATCAGATGACACTTTGTAAACATCCTAGATATAGACATCCAAGTTCTTCTTATTGTTCACATGCATTAAGATACTGACTTCAAAATATTTGTGTTTTTTATGCTTTTCATCACTGGTGTCCATGTAGTATATGTTAACCAACCGAGGTCTACTATGAGTATTAAATCAAGGGTACATAGCTGAGGTATAAGACATTTTGGCTTACATAACACACGGTACATGCCAACAGGTTAAACCTGATATGAGGAACCAGAGAAGTTGATCACAGTGCTAAGGCTGCTAACAAGCCGAGGCAGTTTCTTTGGATCTCATTACAGCTGCATGATGAAGTGCATTTTTCTCGCTTTCTAATATGAGTTTCTATGATAAACACTTCATCATACTTTTGTCACTGCGATGACAAAACGGATCAGATCACCCTTCATGTGATGCCAGAATGAGGTAATCAGATTGGCTGAATGAAGCATTAAAAGCCAAAGGAGTGCTTCCCCGTGCAGGGCCTGAAAACTTCATATGAAGTCATGTTGATTTTATTTAATTTACCTCTCTTTATCTCTCTCTCTTTATCTCTATCATTTTTGATTATATTATACATCATAAAAGTATTGTCTGTAGCAAAAAACAGCAAATGGAAAGGACAGGGTACTTATACAGTTAATAAGACAAAAATACAGCCTAATATACCTGTTGATTTCTTAATTATGTTAGATGATACTTTGCCATTATGCTAGTTAACAGTGAACTTGTGGTATGTTGCCAGCAGGTAACACAATATGACTTTAATTTCTCATCTAATCACTAACATAGCCACCTATGGAGCCTATAGCCTAAACTGAGCTAGACAAGAAATCAAAGTCACTCAGGATAAAGTTAGTATAGCAGCTTGTACAAAGATAAACACAGCAGGCATTTACATCTGTGACCAAAGCACAGCTGTTCTCGGATCAGCTAAGAGAGAGTCACTACTCGATTGGGTAGTCTCATCATGTTTCCACTCTGAACTGCATAAAACACTTCCGAAATGGGGAAATATTTTTAAATATTTTTCCAAGGACTATAGTGTCCTCATGGTAGTTACGAACATGATGGGCACTGATAATGAACTGAAGGCATGAAGCAATGGCTGCAACTCAGTAATTGGAGGGCTGATGAAAATAAGGCGGAGCTTGGTGAGGAGCGCAATGATTTTGATTGGCTATAAAAGGCCTGTGATACTCATGGCTCTACCCTGTGTAATTGGGTAGGCCTGTGATACCCATGGCTCTACCCTGTACATTATCAGAATGCAGCTGTTACAATATTTAATCTCATTAATGGAGATATGGGAAAAAAAAAACCTTCTGAAACTACCGAGGTCCGGACCTTGGTGTCCTCATAGCAAGTTACAGCCATGTCTGCTAGTCTTGGGGTGAGTTTGCTTACCTTTGTCTATTTAATAAAGTTAATGTGGTTAAAACAGTTAATTAACAAAGTCGGTCTCAATCAAACAGTCCTCACAGCTTCAGCTTTTCAGGCTCAAGTGCAGAGTCACGCTGCTTATTATTCAATCAAAGTAGCTCTTATAACCAACTACGAACTTAATGAAAATCAAATGGATGACCATTTAGCAAATGTAGGAACACACAGGTGTTCTGGAAACCACCACTCAATCAATCAATCAATCTATCAATTAATCAATCAAAAGGACAGAAACGCCTCATCAGATAAGAACAAGGTAAAAGCTAAAGCTAGCAAGGTAGCTACCTAGCTAACATGATACCTTACATCAGTGTGGCTGATGGTGCTTGATGACCGAGATAAGAGTTACACTGAGGCTGTAGCTTGGTTGTATTTATTAACTTATAGCTCAGTGGCTAGGCTAGCAGTCAGGATTGGTTAACATCACAGGAATTCCCAATGATTGTATGCCATGATAAGGGATACAGTGCCATGCAATGCAATAATACATAACACAAATAACCTGTTAAACTCTAGTTTTAGGCCGGAAAACCTAAAACCTTTTTCAACCTAAAAACAAGCAATATAACTAATAATCATGTCAGTCAGTAAAACACTGTTTAACTACAACTACTGGAATCTGTTTAAATTAAATGACAAAGTTTTTTAGTCAGTGTTATGGGTTGGCAGAACTTTAGTTCCATAAAATTGGTGTTGATATTGGTCACAAAAGTTTCATATGAGTTGTTTGATTTGAGGTCAGTACATCCTACATCTCTTGTCAAGTCCCACTATGTCTCAAAATGTTGTAATGCATTTGTGGGCAGCAATGCAAGTAATGCAAGCTGTAGCCACCAAACTGTGAAACTGAACATTCCCTAAAACACTCCTTTTGATAAAGGAAAGCATTTGCATCATTCCATTGTAAGTGAACGTGATCCTGAACTTAAACTAACAAAAGGGTATTACACACTCACCACACTGCGCAATTTCCTTTGCTAATCCAGAAATCTCCACTTCACACGTGACTGTGCCACTTTCTTTTATGCTTACAGAGCTCTCGATGTCATAGAGACCAGTGAGACTGTCCATTTTACTGTAGGAAAATACTGGATGTGGGAACAGCAGCTGACCGTTCAGTTTCCATGCAATCTTCCCCTCAGGATAGCCCTGTATGGCCTTACAATGATAACTGCCAGATCTGTTCGTACAGTTTGTAATGAAGTTGGCTGTGAGGAGAAAGAAGGAATGACAGAAAACGTGAGTATAAAAAATCTTCATTTTAATGATCAAAAGTTATAAATGTCCAAACTGTAATTCATCTTGGCCTGAGATTGAATTTACCTTAGAGGCAATTTGACAAACTGCCAAAACCTGTCAAAAGCACTCATGTAACCTAGTAATGCCAAGAATTCCTAGAACTCCTTTTTTTGCATGAAAATGCTAATTACTGCCTACAATATTTGCACCATAGGATTAAGGCTAACACATGCTTCCTCCAATCCATATTTAGGAGAAAATCTTCTTTCTGAGATACGCCTAATGCAGTCAGTGGACTTCTGTGTGTGTTTGGAGGAGACTGCTCATTTCTTTTTGTGATGTGTCACTCAGACACCTTCGACTGCTAGCCCACTCGATTGCTAGCTATTGACGGAGAGGAATGAAGCCATCAGTTGCACATGGTAGTATGAATGGCTAATTGATTCCTTGGTTAACAGAGGTTACATTGGATTGGTCAGAATGCACCAGAATATAGCTCAAGCACCTTTGGTTTGTGTGAATGCCAAACAGAGCTGTGCTCTGATACACCAACCTGATGAAAATGTACACTGACCAGCTTCATTAAGTACACCTCTTTGTATCTACACTCTTTGTCCATTTTATCAGCTCCACTTACCATATAGGTGCACTTTGTAGTTCTACAATTACAGACTGTAGTCCATCTGTTTCTCTGCATACTTTGTTAGCCCAATTTTTTCCCTGTTCTTTAGCACTCAGGACCCCACAGGACCACCACAGAGCAGATATTATTTAGGTGGTGGATCATTCTCAGCACTGCAGTGACACTGACATGGTGGTGGCGTGTTAGTGTGTGTTGCGCTGGTATGAGTGGATCAGACGCAGCAGTACTGCTGAATTTCTGAAACATCTCAGTGTCTCTGCTGGACTACAAACAGTCCACCAACCAAAGGAATCCAGCCAGGTGGACCAACAAAGTAGGTGTGTTTAACAGAGTAGACAGCAGTTGTGCACAGTGTTTAAAAACTCCAGCAACACACACTAACACACCACCACCACGTGAGTGTCACTGCAGTGCTGAGAATGATCCACCACCCAAATAATACCTGCTCTGTGGGGGTCCTGACCATTGAAGAACAGGGTAACAAAATATGCAGAGAAACAGATGGACTACAGTCAGTAACTGTAGAACTAAGTGAACCTGTGGAGCTGATATAATGGTTAATGATTGTAGAAACAAGCAGGTGTACTTAATAAAGTGGCTGGTGGCATCCTGGGTAACAGAGTTGAAGCGAGTAATAGAACTGAACACAGAGATCATACCCCCGCTTAAGTTGATATTAATGCAGTAAGAAACATGTACAGTTTACAACATAGAGCAGAGAGGAGATTTGAAAAAAAATGTTTTAATCAAAATGTTTTCATTAAAATATTTGTTTCAAGCCATTTTCTTTTAATTTTAATTTAAAAATAAACTGTAGGTTACAAAAATGTGTAACAAGGTGGCGAATTTGGCCTAAAACAAGCTAGTGAAGGGATGAAGATTATCTTAGCACTTTTTAACATAGATTTTTTTCTTAAGGATATATTTCTTAGACCTAGGAATAAGGCTTTCTTGTCTCGTTGAGGCTTGTTGTTATGTTCTTTGAGAAAGACGCTGTGACATGAGATAAGGACTTGTTTATGCCCATCTCCAGTCTATCCTATCAGACATGGCGGCAGCCTGCGGTACAGGATCTGTAACTGGGTTTTTCCGTCATCTTTGACTACTGGGGAACCTTTAAGGCCTTGAGCCTGACTGATAGCAACACTTCCTGACGTCATTAACAGGGACACTATCTTTGTTGACTGAATCTCCAATGACACTGTGTTTAGATAGGCTTGATCTGTTAATGATGAATTAGCAATTGCATATGTAAATTGTGTAATTTACATACAATTTGCATAAAGGTATAACTGTTTTGACCAAGTCTGTGTTAGATGAGGAAAACACATGCAGGTGCTCTCACTCCCACCTCTCTCTCACTCGTTTGCTGGAACCTATCCCATTGGGCCACGACAATCCAAAGACAGGCAGTCAGGCCAATTGGACATGCTAAAATGCCCCTAAGTATGAATGTGTGTGTGAATGTATGTGTCTGTGTGTCTGCCCTGTGATGGACTGGTGACCTGTCCAGGATGTTTCCTGTGCATAAAAGACTTTTTTTGTTAAATCAAATAAATTAACAGGGGAAAATAATTATTATAACATTACATTGTTGGAAATAAACCAAATATCATTGTAATTAGGGTGTAACTGGAAGATTTTAATGACCATAAATCACCACATTAAAGATGGATACAGCCTTTTTATGTGTTTTTGTGATTATTAAAATTTAATAACTTTATTTTTAAGATCTTTTCACTTTTCACAGAAATATTATTACTTTTAAACAGATAATGGAACATAAACTGAACTCTATTCATGGAAAGTGCTAGTCACTATGCACATCCCTACTTCCACAACTTAACACCTTTTTATGGACTTCAGGGTATTTTGTTCCATTATGGCATGTGGGATTCGAAGTTGGATGATACAACCACAAAAGAAGGAGTTCTATAGTTCCAATTCGTACTTGTAAAATACAGACAGGTTCAGCCTAAGTAAAATGCTTTGACTCATCTGTATTATCTGACTCATCAAGATTTCTTAAGAATATGATTTAGGAAAGATCGTGGTAAGATGATAAAGCACTTAAGTGATTAGTATCCCATATAGGCTGGAATCACTGGTAATCAAAGGTCCAATCCCATTTCTTATTTTTACCCCTACCCCTTGTTTTCAAGTGTCACCCTGCCCCTTGGAACTGAGTTACAAGGGGTAGTGGTTGAAATCTTCCTCTGGGAAATGGGACCACCCTCAAATAAAAAAGAACATTACTTCATTAACAGGCTACTAGCTGTGCTCTGTAGGTGACCCGACCAGTCTGCAGTGATAGCAGAGGAGGGTAAAGTTCAGCAACCTTACTGCTGGGCTTTAGTTACATTTAGGGCATCACATGCTTTCAAAAAGGGGGGGGATTATTTATTATCATCCACCCCTAATTCCTCGGTAATATGAGGCTGAAGTCAAATATTCCTCAGCTTCTTGTCCCACCTTAAATAGTGCATCAGTACACCTCAGGTGTCAGAACTGCTGCACCATTTAAGGTGGAACGGGAAATTTAGCTAGCTAGCTACCGAGACATCAGCATACTGCTACCAATTTTTATGGTTGTTTATCTGCAAAGGCAATGTCCCTTCTGCAGGTAAACTTTCACACTCATGTTCCTGTCTTTGATGGCACTCTCTGACAGCGTACATCATACGCTCACCTCTGGCGGCTGCTTGCCTCATGATGACGTCCTCATCTCTTTACTGGTTTTTAGCTCCCTGACACACTCTGTCCATGTCTGCTTCACTATCCGTATTAGGCGGCACACCTAAATCCAAATCTGACTGAAGGGACGCATAGGAGCAGTCAGCTGGCACCTTCAGTGCAGGCATCTCCGCAGCTTACAAAAAACCTTACTGGGCAGCCAGGCCTGTAGAATCTTTGTCTCAGTTCTTTCATAGCCCTAGCTGCTCCAAAGTGGCCTGTGCCACTTTCACTTTCGTTGAGCCCCCCCCACAACTTTCTCACTTGCTGCCCGCTGATGTGTGCAACTTCCTCCAATATTGTCACTGGCTTTCATCTCCTCAATACTCTCCTTGAGTGCATTGCCTTCAGCAATTGGTGTTTCCCCTTTTACCACTGGCACTGCATTATTCAATTCCTCCAACCTTAGAGGATTCCCCCATGTCTTATCCATCCGCCACCACTGGTTCACAGGAATGAGCTTTCTTGACCCAAGCGAAACATCCTACTCTTAAACTCCAGTGATGCCTTGCCTGTGATAAGAAAATCCACCCCTAGTATCCAGTACACAAGGGTCACAAGTGGGTGCAAGCCAGAATTTGCTGCTTCCCCCCTCAAACCTTTAGCTGTTTTTTACCCAGCAAAGACACAACTCCGACTTTTAGCTCACCTCGATGGTTGCCCAGCCCTCTGGGGCAGTACTCCAGGTCAAAAAAAGGAGGAAGTTGCCCTATGTCCACCAAGACATGGTAGCAGACTCCTTCAAAGGCACAAGGTAATCATAAGCAGCATTGCCTTCAAATTCTACTGAGCACATGGTTCCCTGTGAGGGGCTCTCTGTTGGGGCCAGCCCTCTCTGGATGGCTCTCCTTTCCATTTCTCACAGAAGTTGGCTCTTGCTTGCGGCAGTGGCATGGTTCCCTCGTACAGCAGGGCTAGTAAACTAAATGTCACATGGGTGGCTGGCTAGACTCCACGTGGCACACTTTTCCTTCTCTCTCTTACCTTCGTCCTTTGCAACATGGCAGACCAGTTGATGACACAAAGGAGTAGTGCAACAAAAAATCAACTCAGCTTTTCCTGCCTCTCTAACAGCTTGCTCCAAAGAAAGGCCAACATGGAACTGGTGTGAGTGCACTGAGAAATGCCTTGAGAGCTTAGTTATTGAGGAAAAAGTTTGCCTCAGTAAGGATGCTCCCCAAGAAGTCCCATACAGGGCCAAAAGCCACCACAATATGGCAGAAATTTTTATCTTGCTTGCTCTTCTTGATACTGGCATTTTCAATGACAAAGACAACTAGAATCATAGATATCACTCCATATTGTGAGTACAATACTGTGTCAGAAATAGGAGCTGCTAGCTTGGCTAAGTAATTGAGTAATGAACTGCTCAACTTTGATTTCTTACGAATTGCTTCATGCAACTGCTAAGTTTCATCCAAATGATATTGCGTGACTAGCTGCATGAAAGTTTCACCATGTAATGTAAGGATCCCTGAGCAAAGACTGTCATTAGAGGGTAGATCCCTTAAGTGGTGCTTTCCCAACTGTCACCTGATTCAACTTCTTATACATGTGCCTGAGCTGAATCAAGTGTATAGAGAAATAACTAATATGCGCTGATGTCACCATGAGTGAGATTGAGAAATCATAAACATTTGTCTCTATTTACCTGTAACCTGTAGGGTTGCATGCACATCGGAAAAAGCTTCTGCATCATAGTAGCATGTGTACACTCCCTCATCTGATGCACGGACTTGACTTAGGATGAGAGAACAGCTGTTTTCCTGGATTCCAGTTCTGCCACGATACTGTAGTGCTGTTAGGTCTCTGTCATCACTGTACACTATAGTGTGGTCTCTCTGCCAGCTGATCAAGGAAGACATGTTTGGGCAGTTACAGGGCAAAATCACTTTTCCTCCAACTTTGGCTGTGACATTTGTGCAGTCTGTTGGGGAGAGTGTGGTAAATAGAACATAAAGAAGATGTAGGTTAACCAGTCTGAGTTAGGGCTGAAAGTTTCAAGCAAAATATGTAACTGACATTTATCTAACCAATATTGCAACTGCATTGTAAACTGCAACTATTTTCTAGAAAATCAGGCCTGTTTCTTTTGGCCAGGAAGACCAGCATATCCACTTTTTCTGGCTTGAGGCTTGAATGCTGAACATTTAGTGTGACAGAATGCCAGTTCTTTTGTGGTTGAGTTGTCATGTACAGACCACATGGATGCTTGGTTGCTTCTTATCTGCAGGCAGATCACAAGCTCTGTTTAAGGTTAAATTTCCCCACTGAAAACATCTTAAGACAAGTTTCTAAGGGTTTTAAAGATGGTTTATGGTTAAATGGTTGATTTAATTAGATGAAGTATTCCTAATCAATAATTAGATTGACTATTTCTATTATTTTATATGCAGGTAATCCAAACTTTTGAACACTAGTGTATACATATGTGAAGATAGATAGGTAGGTAGATAGGAAGATAGATACAGTCGTATGCAAACATTTGAGTGCCCTGGTAAAATTACATGTCACAAAAAAATTACACACACACACACATGTATATATGTGTGTGTGTGTGTATCTATATCTGTTTATCTATTTATCCATATATATATATATATATATATATATATATATATATATATATATATATATATATACAGTTGCTGTCAGGTAAATACATACCAACACATCAACAACATCAGTTTTTGATGGCTTAATTGGAAAAATACAAATAAAACAAAAAAATCACCATATATTGTTTATTTTTTCTAATTTTAGTGTTTTACCTGATTATGTAATTACTTTACATATCATTTTCTCAGTGCTGTATATTAAAAATTCCATTACTTATTAACGTAATAATAATAATAATAATAATACACTGTATATATGCTGTTACACAAGTCTCCGAAATGACTCAGCCATAAACTGTACAGTTTCGCTCAGTTCATTAAGAGGTCAAAGGTTACTGGTTCACTCAGTTATTCATTAATGACTGATTAACTAGGCGCTCTGTACTCACCGCTCACAGACACTGAGAAGAGGAGTGTGATCACAACTGCAAGGCTGTTTCGACACATTCCGGCCTGAAATGGAGTTTTATTCATTTTCAGAGTCCCCAACCGCTCAGTGATGATGTTTATGAAGGGTCAGGAGTCCTTATGTATCTGTTAAACTGCCGTCCATCCGCACTTCACACTGCAGTGCATACGACCTCCGTGCTGTCATAGTTTATATCCAAGCTCAGCTCTCGCGCTCTCTCTCTCTCTCCCTCCCTCCCTCTCCCTCTCTCTCTCTCTCCCTTTTCAAACTACTGTCCTGGCCACACCCCCTCAGCTTTTACTGCTCACTGCACTCACTAAAGGAAAAACAGGCAAGCGCGTCTTTGTTCATCAGCATGATCTAATACTGAAAATATGACAGCAGTCTAACCTCTCAATGAGGACAAATTACCCACATAAATAAATAAATAAATAAAAACACCTAGAAATTTTAATTCATATTTTGCTTATGTTTGCAAACTCTTAAGAACATAAATACATAAAAAATAAAACAAACAAATAATCTAATTAAGAATGAAAAAAAGAATTAAATCCTGTATTTTTCTTGTTTGTGTGGTTTTATGTATCAAAGACAATTTATAATTATTTTACGTGACCTTTTCTCAACCTCTCTTATCCTTTCGATCGGAACGTGCTGTTTTAGTTTCGGCTCTTTTAAGACTGACAAGCAGATGCAATAGTCTAAACACCCCTGATCGAATTACATGTTCTCTTGGTTTTCTGAGTGAAACTAAGACAACATGTCCTCTATGGTGAACAAACTTAAATATGACATTGTCCTATTTTCAGGTTCTATTTGTTTTTATTTATCTAAAAATTTAAATGTGCCATAACTTTTGCACAGGCCATATTTTATGTTTTTTTTTTTTTTTCCAATATGTAAAATTCAGCAACAAACAATTGTGCCAGTTGAATGCCTTCTCTTCACTTAGAAAATCAACAAGTGCAATTGAACTTTTTAAGTGTAAATTCAGTATAAAATGGACAACCTTTTGGATAAAGATGGTATTTTTTAACCTATCTAGCCAGAATCAGTGTGTGGGACTCTTCAGTCCACGACATCTAAAGCATTGCAGTAAAAAAGGTAAATCAGAACTGCTGCTGTTTGTGTTTACTGTTAATGTTAGACGGTTAAAACACTTTGTGGTTTGAGTATCTTTAATTTGTTCTTTTTCTTAATTTGTGTGTAGATCTGGGTTTGGATTGTATTAGAGTGTTATTATTTTGTGGTGGATTGCTGTGGAAATTGTGCTTTATTTGTAGTTTTGATTCCTTATTTGGAGTTTATTTTTGGTGTGACTGTTTAAGTCTATACTTAAGCGTGAAGAGCAATTGCAGAGGAGACGTTTACAGGTGGCATGGTTCCGCGAGGAAGTAGGAAGTGGCTGGCTGTAAGGATCTGGTGGTGGAGAGAGCACTCAAGTGAAGTAAAGGGCTGGTACACGTTACTAAAAGGGTTTGGAACAGAGAACTTGCAGAGCGGAGAATTACCACTCTGTGATGTCTTCTGGGTTTCTCTAACGCGCTCCTGAGCGGCTCCAGAATGATTGGGTTAAGACGGAGCATTTATGCAAAATCATAGTTTATAAATGCTTAAACATTTTTTTAATATCATTTCCTGAACACAGAACAGTATAAACATTTAACGCAGTTGTTATATTTTTAAGCGCTTTTGAACTCTTAAGTTTATATAGAAGTTTAAAACGGCGCCTCGTGTACGTTCATGATATCAGTGAGCGCAAACAGCCAATGAGCTGCTCTGCTTTAAAGAATCATCTTGGTAGGTAAGCTGTTCTCGTCAATAGCCATGTGCACATGCAGCCTGATCTCGTCAATAGCCACGTTTACATGCAGCCTGTTAATCCATTAATAATCCGACCAATAGCTCAATCGGAATAGAATAGTTAGATGCAACCTGCATACCAACAAACTATTTGGCAGGTATATTAGAAGAAAGCCTCTGCTGTCATTGAGCCACGAACATAAACATCTGGAGTTCACTAAACATCACTGGGTTCTGTGATCAGATCAGATGTTGTGGGGCTGTTCAGACCCAAAAGTCATTGGAATTTTGTTACATGACATTATGGATTCCATTAAAAGTAAGAGATTTTACACCACAGTCTGGCTGTGTAAAATAGTATGTTTAATGTTTTTGTTTCTTTATATAACCAGCGTTTTTACTAAAGAACCTTTACATAATCATCTTGATAGGTTAACTGTGACTCTGAGTGTGCTCTGTTACAGCTCATCTTTAAAGAATCATTTTAAAGGGTGTGCCAGAAGGTTAAGATTGGGTCATCGATCCTCCAGTAGAATCTAAAACATGTTTCAACACCTTTAATCCACATGAGAACTGACTGACTGACCACAGTATCAAGCCTCTCAGTGTCCGCCCTGTCTCCCTGATCTATACTCCACTGAAAACCTGTGGGCTGGGCTGATGAGGAAATGTAACATGTTATCTTTATTACATAAGAAAACAAGTCTGTGTTATCTTTGACAAAGAAGCCTTTTTGTTAAAGAAACCAAATAAAAAAAATGGACTCAGATTCCTTTATTCACCAATATGCTAAATCATTGTGACCACTCACAGATGAAGTGAATAATGTTGATTATTTCAGAATTTAAACTGGGGTGTATTACATGGTAAGCGAACATTCAGCTCTCATAGTCAACGTTTTGGCTGTGGGAGAAATGGGCAGATATGAAGACCTGAGTTAGGCTGTAATAGCTTGACCTGCTGGATTCTCTGCCGCACGCTGTTACACTGTATACTGTAATCAGTCACTTATAACAGAACTAACTGCCCTTGTGTTTCTTTGCCGAGCTGAACAACTTCCCATCCTGTGCGGTCTGATGCTGTTTCTTCATCTGCCTTAATCGGATGCCCACTGCTTGCCTGCTCGCCACGCTGTGCAAACCTCACCTGCTTGAACTGACCCTCCTGATGATACTGCTTTTGCACAGACTCAAACTATTTAATTATGGCCATTGCTTCAGCTGCTTTTCTCCTTTTCTGTATTTTAATATTTTTTACTAATGTTAAAACCTTATACTCTGTTCATATCGCTCTTGTGTTATTGTTTGCTATTCAGTGTTGACCAGAGGAGGATGCATTCCACTTTTGAGTCTTGGTTCCTCTCAAGGTTTCTCTTGCTCTTAGAGACTTTTTCCTTACCACTGTCGCCATTATCTTGCTCATGGAGGCTTGGACCTGGATTTTTCTGTAAAGCTGCTTTGCGACAACACCTGTCGTAAAAAGCACTATATAAATAAGTCTTGACTAGACTTGACCTGAGCCTTGGTCCTGACATTCACGTGGACGTCAGTTTGACATGTGGCACTTACCTAAACATTGTTATGGACCAGGTACACCCTTTCATGGCAGTTGTATTCCCTGATGGCAGTGTCCTCTTTCAGCAGGATAATGTGCCTGGCCACAGTGCACACATTGTCCGGAAATGGTTTGGGGAATATGATGATGAGTCCAAGGTGTTGCTCTGGCCTCTAAACATCTCCACAGGATAAAAGATCTTTGAGACATGCTGGACGTCCAATATGCCACGGCTCCTTATTGCAACTTACAGGACTTAAAGGATCTGCTGCTAGTGTCTTCGCACCAGATACTACAGGGCACCTTCTTATAGACTCGGCATGTCTCGGTGAGTCAGAGTTGTTTTACTTTTGGTTTGTTTTTTGCACTTTTTCCATCTCTAATGTCACAACTTGTGTACATTGGGCCTCCCTGATCTTCTCAGAACCGACTGACATTTTGTATCTAAGAACATTTTGTCTGTTTTATTTTTTCTACGTGAGAGATGACTTTTCTCTGCTGTGTAGAGCTGTTTGAGCTCTTGACATTAAGAAGGACTTTCTAGAGGCTTTTTATATCTCTTTCTGTCAGATCTGAGAAGTTGCAGCATTTCCTGTCCTCCTCAGTCCAGCTAAACCTCTCCACCATGCTGTTTTATTTGTGTTTGTTTGTGTTTCTTGTTCAAGACCCATGAGGGTCTTTGCTGGATTCTACATAAGTAGATGTGTGTGTGTGTGTGTGTGTTTAATATCCTAATGTGTAATGTGTTTAATATGCTAAACTAATAATTAATATGCTAATATGTTAAACTAGTAACCAACCCAGATAGCAAATCACTGAATCCATGTTAAATCAACAATTAAAGCGTCAACATTAACTTCACTCTATCAATGTTAATGTAATGTGAATTCCTAATCACTTTTGCCCTCTGAATTAAAACTGAAACAACATTAAAAGCTGAAAAATTCAACAATATATTGATGCTACCTCAATCATTTTTCAAGCCATCCTGCTTTATCTATAGCAAGGATTATAAAAAAAAAAGCCATTTAGCCTTAAACAAACAACAAAACCCTCCATTAGTTTCTTTATTGAACAACAAGATAACAAGAAAATGGTTTAAAATTACTTTTTTTAACTAGATGATGTACAAGAACTACAGAAACAGTCTCTGTGATGTCAATCAATACGGACTAGAAACCTGACCCCTGAGGTATAGGCTAAGCAGCTTGGATAAGTGTAATCCTTACCTCAGTTGCCGCATAAAATTGCTAAGAAAACAGAAATTCTATCTTTATTCACGAAATGGACATCAGAGAAAAGTGTTTGTTCATTTTCAGCAGCAGAAAAAGAAGCCAAACTGAGGTAAGGTATCTAGTCTAGATAGCAAGGCAGCTAACCTTATATATATAAAATATGGTTTACATGATTTGCATATCATTGCATCCTATTTTTATTTACATTCTGCACAGCGTCCCAACTTATTTGGGAATGGGGTTGTAGATACAGAATTGTCGTATCAGCATACATTTCAAGATTTTACATAGTTATGTGTCTTTCATACTTTCGCATGGTGTTTATATTAGAATTAAGAGGGTGAACCGAATGCATCCGGAGGACAACATTCAACATTCAAACACTGATCTTTTGGCAAATAGCTACTGCAAGCTTCCCAAGAAGTAGTTCAAAGACCACTTTAGATTAGCTTTTATTTGATGAGTGAAATGAGAGACAGGGTGTTCTAACCTATTTGGCTTAAATTCATGTGTTCCGTTTGTTTTTTTTTTGCATGCAAGTGAGATTTGGGAGGCAGGGTAGGGACTGTGTGCAGTTGTGTGTGTGAGTTGTAAACAGTCTTTCAGGTTTGTTACTGAGGATAAATAGTCTCGGTAGTCTGGTCTTGTCACGGAATGATTTGTTTGGCTTCTAAAGGTGTTTTTCCACCTGAAAGGCACTAGCTTGGGATATGTTTTTCCGTTATGGACTGAATGTGATGACACTTCTTTTCAACAGTCTGTTATTGCTACTGAATTAAAAGAAAAATGCATTGCTGTATAATTACTAGTCTTTAAAGTGATTTCTGTTAGATCTTCAGCAACTAGTTATTGGCAGGCACAAACAAGTGTCACTCCCTTTTGTTGTGCTTGTGTTTTTTGTTGGTTTTATCGTGTGCTGTGACACATAATACATTATCAGCATTCAAAACTGCTATTGAAAAATCTAAATAGCAGGTTATATGAAAATAATACTCCAGGAAGATTATTATTATTCATTAAATATCAGACAAAAATTATGCAGTTGCTGCAACTTCAAGTAGAAGCCTTTGAGTGAGTTCTATGTTTTTTGTAATTCTGACTTAAAATGCCATCCTAATTACTTAGTATATTCTAATTATGACATCTTAAGTCTTTATGACTTATTATCTAATTCTAAGTCTCTAATCATGATATTTATGCTATGACAATGAGAAGCTTATAATTGAGATGTCTCATAATAAAATAGTTGTAAGTATGAGAGTTTCTCATCATTAAAATGCAGTAAGTTATAATTATGATGTAACTGAGTTTGAGAGTCATAATCACATGTGATTAATTCACAGCTGTGAGAAACTTGCTCATTAAATTGCTTTTTATTTTAAATTGCTTTCTAAAACTGGATTTATAGTACAAGTCATTCCTTTTTCAGGAGATATTTCTGAGGAGATTAGATATAAGACTTGCATAAGAAGAAAGTCAAGATTAAGTGACCCTTATTAGTCCCACAATGGGGAAATTTCACCTCCGTAATCTAACCCATCTGTGCAGTGAAACACCACATACACACTGGTGAAGACACACTCTTGGGGGCAGTGAGCACACTTGCCTGGAGCGGTGGGCAGCCCTATCCACAGCGCCAGGGGAGCAGGTGGGGGTTAGGTGCCCTGCTCAAGGCCACCTTAGTCACATACTGTTGGCTCAGGGGATCGAACCAGCGACCTTCCAGTCTCAAAGCTGGTCCCCTAACCTTCAGCCCACGACTGCCCCAATGGAAAGTAAGTGAGATTCATAACAACTGTGTAAGACCTGGGAGACCACCAATACTGTCACCCTCAGATAAACAGTACTTTCCTTTCATTCATGAGAGAGGAGAAAATCAGGCTCCACTCTTGCTTCAGATCAAAAAAATCCACAGGTGCTCCTGTTCATCCTTCCACTGTGAGAAGACAACTCAGCACTATGAGTTTGAAAGGATGTATAGCTGTCAATTAGCCCTTATATCTTAATTTTTGATGTTTTATTTTTCTATACATTTGAACATTGTGGCTGTCCTTTATATTGCATGAAAACTAATGATAATTGGACCGACAGCTCCAAAATGACTTGAAATGAAATTTCTTTACATTAACTTACATTAAAAGTCAAAAACATTTTTGGTTTCTCCTACCATATTGATGGTGAATTAGTAGAGTCCCAATATAAAAATATCTTGGAATAGAGAATTTGCAGATTGTGGTGCATCTAAAGCAAAAAAAAAGGGGTGCCACAAATAGGTACAGTGTCAACTGTTGTGTTTCGTAACTTCTCTGTAAATCCATACCTCATAGTGTCCTGACTTTCGGTCTGATGTGTATGTTTGGGAATGTGTGTCCAAGACTGAAACAAATCCAGAGATTAATCGAGTCAGTGAGTAGGATTATAGAAACAAAAGAAGTTGTCAGCTCCATGCTAACTGGTTTAAAAAAAAAAAAATGTATTATCAAAGATCTACCCATCATGCACTACTGCACTACTGACCAACTGAATTTCCTGTATGGATAATATAGTGGACTTGATTTTGGAGATACTTGTTTTTCTTTCGACAGCGACAATATGTGTTTATTGTACTTTGTTAATATTATCATAACTCATTAAAACACAAAGATGCTCACACGATGTTTATCATCAAGAGTTAAACCTTTTGACATATGGGCAACTAGTTGTGATGCTGTAGTCTGTCTAAAAAAGCCCAACATACATTTACTGACAAAGAACAATGGCCCTCACACACCAATATCTTCTTAAGTTTTTTCTTAAACGTGTTCTTGAGAAAGGAACGACCCAGAAGGATAAGCAGTTTAGAAAGTGTGTGTGTGTGTGTGTGTTCTTGAGAAAGGTCCTAAGAAAAAGTCTACCTCAGATTCATGGTGTGTTCTTAAAGCGCATAATTGTTCTCAACTTTGTGCTCTTAAGTGTGTGTAGATTCTGTTCTTAACCTAAGAACAAATCCCAAATAAGAAAACATTGTTGAATCTCAGAATCTTCCTAAAAACTGCATAAGTGGGTTTTTAGAAGAAATTTCTTCTTAAGAACAGTTGGTGAATGAGGCCCAGCATCTATTATTGCTAAGAATAAGTGTAAATACCTTAAACCAAAGCACTGAAAAACAAAGGAGTTGTTGATTGACTTAGAGTGGTAGAGTAGAGCTGCCACCACTATTTGAAAATGTGCCATAACTTTTGCACAGGCCACATATGATGTTTTTGTGTGTTTTCTAATATGTTAAGTTCAGCAAATAACCAGCAATTGTGCATTAAAATTGCAAAAGTGTGTTCTCTGAGGACGATGCGTTAACGTGTTTTCACATAGAGGTGTAATTTGACCTGAGGAGGCCAAACTTTGGTGACACTTTATCAACAGTACATGTTCAAAATATTTACTTCAATGTATTCAGATGCTTTACTACTGCCGCTTCACTGATATGTAACTGGTAGCTTGTTGAGTTTATTAATTATCTACAAAGGACCACTCAAAATAAAGTGCATACCAGACTTTTGCATACCAGTATATGTAGAATATCTCAGTTTCATAACAGCACTTACTCTTCCACTCCTATAATTCAAACTCTTTTAAGTCAAGTTCTGTCATTTTGTTTATAATGTATTCATATGTGTGTTTGGAATCACTTTACTAATATATATTTTTTTTTATTTTATATACAGTAATTACTTACACAATGTGGATAAAAATTCTACAAACTATTCAGCAAAAGGAATTGGAGATTTTATCACCACTTCAGAAATATGATGATTTATGGATATTAATAGCATTATAAAAATATATATAATAATAATAATTCCATGTTGGTTTATGCTGGTCTGATGGTGGTCGACCCGCATACCAGCATACAAAACACAACACAATGGTTCTGCTTTTTTCCCTAGCAGGAATAGCTACACAGCTATCTTGGTCATTTTAGAATCTTCTACAGCTGCGTTTAGTACGGAGCTGTTGCTTTAATTTCCTAGATTGTTATCTTGAGATAACAAGTTAAATACCTTGTGATCTCAAGTTGACAACTTTGTTATCTTGATCACAAAACACTTAATTCGTTATCTCAAGATGACAACTTTGTTATCTTGAGGTCACAAGATACTTAACTTTTGTTATGTTGAAATCACAAGATAGTTAACTCATTATCTCAAGACAGCAATCCAGAAAATTATAAGTACCTCATGGCCTCTCCGGAGTGCCGTAGTTTATCACTCTGGACGCTGATTAAAAAGTATATGTTTATTTAAAGGATTCTGTTGTCCTACCATTGATTTAAAGGCGTTGAAGCTACACAGAAATATCATATTAGAATAATGCATTATACATTTATTTGCAGCCCAATTGGTTTTATAGTAAAACATTGATTCCAAACCACTGAAAGGCAGAGTGTGTTAATTTACCAAGTGAATGACTGTTATATTGGATTGTGTGGGTAGTGTTTGGTTATTTGTGAAGCCAATAACTCTCAGCCTTATTGTAGTCTGCATTGCTCTGAATGAGTGTGACGGTACTGTACTGCCCTCATGTGGTCAATCCTCCGGATTTCACTGCAGCGGGCTCTGTTTGACTGACAGCACCTCGCACAAATCCGCATTCACTGACTGTGAGCCACGCCGCTCAGTGACCTTCCTCTGCCGGGGAAACACGGAATCAAAATACAGCACCACAACATAGTGTCAAAACTGGCTAAACATGCTATTTTATGGGGAGTGAGCGTCCGTAGCCGGTATTTCCCCCTTTTCCTGGTGAAAACCCGGTGGTTGGTATCTTCTTTCATTGATTCTGGTAGACTTTTAACCCTGTCTAACGTCACATAACCGCCACCTAGCGAGAGCTAATGCTAACGCCGGTTGTTGACATAGCGCGACAAGAGCACAGACTTCTGAGGCGTTTTCGTGTTTAGGGCTGAACAGTCAAAACCTCTCACATAAGCATTAGGATGGTTTTAGTCAGGTTTCGTTTTCTTTGTTGACTGCATCTTCAGGTTTAAGAGGGGAACAAAAATAGGCAGTTTGTTGTAACGTTATACACACATTAATATGTGAACGTAGCTGGTTATGTGACTTGAAGAAGTGAATTAACTTAGAGGATGGTGTTGAGGTTCGTTTATACACTATACCTCACAACTTTAACTACGCTGTATTATATGTCAGATTTCACCACCAAATAGAAGTACTGTCATGAAGTCGTAAGATGAAATCCATCAACCTGTCGGTTATTTCTGCACAATTCAATCATTACGATGCAGATAAAGACTATTTAAGAGTGTTTAGATGAAATGCATCATTCTAGAGTCAGAATTGTTCACAGTGGTGGTGATAGGAACCAGACGTCCAAAGTGTAGAAAGCTGTCACATGAAGTGGTTACAAAAATGCTATCTGTTGCATAATAAGACCGAGTTTTATAATAGTGTTGTGATAAGGCTGTTCAGGTGAAATAATACCCAAAGAAAATATTAATTTTTTTTTATTTATTTATTACAGATTTACCATCAATCACGTTATACGTAGTATATTATATACACATGTGTAGCTTTATTAGTAATATTTAATACTGAATTGATCAATAATTTTCATTATATAACAAACAAAAGTCTAAAATTGTTGTGAAACCAGCTTAATATTATTAAACGTGTACTAATATTTCGTTTAATTGAACATATTTAATTCTGTGAAAATTCCTCCTGTGTTATAGATCTTTTCCATTAGCGATTGCCAACAGACCATCTGACATTTTTATCTGCTTCTTTTCTTCTTTCTGTTCAGTCTCTCTACCTATTTGTTCTTTCCTGTAGAAGTGGATGTCCAAGTGGTGCCTATAATTAACATCTTGGACAGTCAGTTGGGTGTTAAAATGGAGGTGGTTCCTCCCAACTCTGAGAGAGAAGCTACTGCCGGCAGCATAGCAGGCCCTGAGGAGGACGAAGAAGGAGAGGTGCACGCGGCCATGCTGTGGTCCATCCAAGAGGCTGTGGAGAGGCAGACCCTTCAGATCGGAATCTCAGCCTGCGGTGCTACGGCTGTGGTGGATGTGCTCCAGGCTTTGGGGATTACAGTGGCCCCAGAGACGGCTGACCACTGTGTACGGACTAGACTCAGGAGGAACGATTCCCCATTGCCTGATTACCTTCACTCACGCAGCGAAGCAGGTAAATTGCTTTCCGTTATATGTGTTACAGGGGCTGTAAAACACATTACCTCACTCAGACAAATTTTTATAATGAATACTGTATTAATTTTTGCAACATTGTCCGTTAGTGCAGTATGAACAAATTGATCAAACTAGCAGCACTAGATGATTTGGTCTAGAGGGCAGCTCACAGCTTGTCAGCTGTTTAGGATTAGGGTGAGACAATGAAAATGTTCATCTTCAGTCCTCAATCCCTCACCTTGTCCCGAACTTCACACTTGTGAATTTGTGTACGTGTGAGTCTACGTAAATCCCATTTCTCAAACGGGCAAAAGCACAGTGCACAAGACTGCAGTAAACGCACCCTTTTCCCAATACCGTATTAAAGTTTATAGTGTTGGTGACGTTCTAACACGCAGGCACTAAGATGTGGTAATTACACCGAGTGGGGGTGGCTATTGTAGTATCTTACTAAGAACTTGCATGCAAATGAACACAGTTGTATCTTCGTAATTAACATGAGTATCGCAGTATAACCACGTGTTTGATTCACATGCTTTTTGTAAGGAAGCCTGTTTCTGACAGATAGAAAAAAAAGAAAAAAAAATGCATCTGATTCTTGTTCAAATTGTAACCCATTTTATTAAAATAATGACTTATTTTCTCAAGATTAGTTAGTCTAGTTTCGAAACCACAATAAAAATAAGCCTTCAGACATTTTTGTGTTATTCTTCTGTTTATTATATGCATTGCCTTTTTTTGAAGTGTGGTGAATGCTGTTTAGTTTAAAATATGAAATGGTCTAAATAAGAAAAGCAGTCAAGATTTTGATTGAAATTTATGAAGCACATTAATGAAGTTTTTACTCTTTGAGAAAGTGTGTGATTATTTAGACAAAATGCGTCATTATTTTGGCATAATAAACAAAATTGAGACACTAAGTACTTATTTTGATCATGTTTGTTTAGTAGTTTGCAGTAAACTTGGTGTAATATAAAATTTAATTTCATAGAGAGCTTTCTGCGCCATTGGCATCTGTGTGATTTGAACGTGAATAAAAACGGGCACTTTTACTTATGAAGTTTCACAGCAGTTTGGAAAAGAAAACTGTCATGTCGTTATTTAGACAAAACCTGAGGCCCTTTGATAAATCCGAAATATATCCACAGTTTTAGGAAATTCCAATTTAAAGCATTGTTTTACTAAAACTGGTTCAGTTTAGTAATTTTCTCCATCAAATTGAGAATAATATGACATGGCATATGTTCACAAAATATTGTTTTATTTTCAGTTGAAAATAATTACGTGACCAATCAACTCTCTCTTTTCGTCTCTCAGCAATAACAGTAGCAGGAATGTTAGTGACACAGTCTTATTTTAGCACACAGTCAGTATATACTATCAGTCTTAGTAAATCCGAATAAGTGATTCATTATAATTAAATCCCCCCAGTATTTTGCATTTTGTGATATAAACGCGTATCGTCACTGTCCAAAAAAGTATTTCCAAAATGGCTACGTTACAGGAGAAGGTAAAAAGGTTCTTTACTTTTAATGTAAGTCAATGTAAAGAGATCTTATTCCAAGCAATGTTGGAGCATTTCTGTTGGTCCATTCATAACAATTTTTACACAATGTAAATGGCAGCCTCTGTGCTCAAATGATGTAGAAAAAACAGAGATACTTTTTTTACATTTTTTTTGAACAGTGATGATATGCAGAGAGGGAAATGTGCAAAAAAGCAGCTCTGCCCCTTTCATCTTATTACAGGCACTAAAAAGGCCATTGCCCCTTTTTAATGAACCGTGACAGCCAGTTTTTAACAGGAAATGCATAAACGCAAAATGACTTGTGCACGAAGGATTATTGGCAATAGACTACGAAGCTACTCCAGCAGCATCCTCAAGAATGGTCAGAATGTAGGCTGCATTTCTCGACAGGGTCCTTCTAGTTGGACAGGCCTTCGATGACATAGTAGTATAGAGTTGCAGCCCATCTAGACCTCAGCCTAGGTTTTGGGATGAAGCTACAGTGTTAGAGCAATGTAAACCCTAAACTCTGCAGTGCTATGGCCCTTCAGGATGTGAGATGGACAGCCTTAATCTAGCCTGTTATGTGCATCCTTTCTATCAGGTGCCACACACCATCAGCTGATAGATGGAGCAGAACGGGCCAGTGGCGGTAGAGTGCTGGGCAAGTTCTTCAGTTTCCACCCAGCAAGGCGGGTAAAGCTGGTACCGTGGCTGGCACACTGGATCCGGCGTGGAGCTGTGCCTGTAGCCACCATGAACATGCAGCGAGGAGTGGCAGAGGGTGAAGAAATCCCTGATGCTTGGCATCACCAACTGATCTTTGGAGTGGGACCCAATGCTGTGTTCATGACTAATCCTCTGGATGTGGGTATGTGGTGATATTAGAGGCTTGTGACATCCATACCCCCTTCTGATGAAACATTTTGAAGAAAGGGAGAAAAAAATTACAAGTGCTTTGAGGTGGATACATGACGACGGCCTGTTTAAAGTGTAAAAATGAAAATTTTCATGTTTACAGGCACTTTAAGGCAGGGGGGCCCTTCCTGGGGACCCCATGCTATGCACGTTTTTATGCTTTCATTCAATTCAATTAATTAACTAATTAACAAGCTAATGTGCTGCGTCAGCTGTGTTAGAGTAGGAAAAACACCAAAATGTGTAGAGCATGGGGTCACCAGGACAGACTTTCGGCTAGTTACTATTAACCTGGTCTTATGGTTTGTGTCCACAGTTGGTGAGGAGGAGGTACACATGCGCCTGTGCAGTGAATCAGTGCTGCTGATCCGTCGTGAAGATGTCTTGAAGAGACTAACGTCAGGATCCCCACTGTCACTGATCTCAGACCAGCAGGCTGATTCACGTTGGAAAACTCTTAATGTGGAAGGTACTTTTTGTAGACATCCCTCCTTTACAGTGTTCTTACGTAGATTATGTTAAACTACAGACAACTGACAATGGCCGCACAATACATCATTCCTTAATCATTACCATGACATTAGCCTTTGCAGTACCATGGCAGATGTCTAGCATGTACAAATGAGCATTTCACCAATCAATCAATGTTTTTCTTAAGGGTCAGTTTCCTGGACAGGGCCTTAGCTTAACCCTAGCCCTGGACTACACAGCATTCTGTGAGATTCTCCACTGAAAGGAAACTACAATCCAGTACTAGGCTTAATCTCTGACCAGGAAACCAACCCCAGAATTTCACGAATGTGTTGTCAGTATATTAGATCAGTATTTCTCAGCCCTGGTCCTGGAGGCACACTGCCCTGCTCCCAGCATACCTGATCCATCTACTGAGGTCATTATTGGGCTGAAGTGGGTGTGGTAAAGCAGGGAAAGCACTAAATTGTGCATGACAGTGGGCCTCAGGGACCAGGGTTGAGAAACAGTGCATTAGATGATATTGAATTGTGGGGGTGGGCGATATACAGGTATAAAAGTTAATACCAGTATGACTTTTTCTCGTGATATGAATTTTGCCGTACTGGGGATACCGTGATATACTCAAACACAGTCAACCACAAACAGTGCTGCCCTCAAACAAACTAAACAGAAGCATGAGCAGGTTAAATAACTCTTATAAACTTGACAAAATGGTGTTTTAGACAAAGCACCGCTGAGTGCCGCTTGCAGCCATTCCTACCTTAATCGTTGTAGGTTTTTGTAGGACACGCACAAAGCAAGTGTGTTGTTGGGTGCATGCCACGGGCACGAAGCATCATGAACACGTTTGGTTCTGTTATTCAGTCTGTGCAGCGTTCGCACGTATTTTTACTTTGCGAGGCTCTCCATTTTAACATTTTTTCCTGTCACTCAGGGTTGCCAGAATCATGGTTCCCCCCAGACAAATCTGGCTGGTTTTAACATGCAGTGCAGGTAGACATTATACAGCGGCACAAAACATCTTTGATTGGACTACTTTCTAAATGTACCACTATTTTAATAAATATGTTGTGTTTTTTTTATGGGCCGTTTCAGACTTTTGCGTATCGACACAGTTAGGCCCAATCTCATTTCACCCCTTGCCCCAACCACTTAGCTCTTAGCCCTCTGTTTTGTGTGTTCACGTCTAGGGTTAGGGTGTTCCAATTTTTGTTGAGACAGAGGGGGTAGGGCGAAATGTTAGGGCTACATGGCCCTCCAAACGGAGGTTTTTCAGAGGCACACTCCAAACGGAGTGTTATCAGAAAAAAAAAGAAAAACTGGCAAGATGGCTGCGCGAATGACCTAAGAAACCCACAAATATAAGTATTTTCTCTGTTAAAAAATTGTGATAACCATAGTATTATCTTAGTTTAATGTCGTTTCAAGCATAAAAAATCACTAATAACAACCTAATGTCTCGGTAGCTAGCTAGCTAACTTTCCCATTCCACGTTAGTCCAACTGTGTTGATGCCTGAAGCGCCAAAATGTAACTGCTGCGCCATTTAAGGTGAAACGGGAAAATGCAAACAAGAAGCTGGAGAATAGCTGACTTCAGCTTTGTATCACCAAAGAATTAGCGGTGGGTGATAATAAATAATTGTCTTATACCTGCTCTTTGAAGGCACATGATGCCCTAAATGTAACTAAAGCCCAGCAGCGGGGTTGCTAACTTTTTCTTTCTCTGCTATCACTGAAGACGGGCCAGGTCTCCTACAGAGCACTGCTAGTAGCCTGTTAATGAAGCATTTTTTGTTTTTAATTTGAGGGTTGTCCCATTTCGTAGGGCAAGATTTCAACCACCACCCCTTGTAACTCAGTTCGAAGGGGTTAGGATGACACTCGAAAACAAGGGGTAGGGGTAAAAAGAAGAAATGGGATTGGGCCTTAGTCAGTCTCAGGCTGCTGAAGCTTGCACGTGCAGGTCATTCCCACAGCATTTGTGCCGTTGCGCAGCAAGAAAGTTCTACAGATTTTTTTACCAAATAAATAAACTAGCAAATCTGTCACTTTGTTCAATAAACAATAATTCTTAAAAGAGCACTGAATATTTGTTTACACTGGACAGCATTCTGACTTGTGATTGGGCAAACATTTCAAGCCTGGCGGACCAGAAAACTGTTAAGCATGACGAAGAAGAATGAATCAGCCCGTAAACACATCCAACAGGCATGGAGTAAACTTCATGTATAAACTTAACAAGCCTGGAATAGTGATAGGTCTTTGTTAGATTAGCAAACAACGAAATATAATTTTAGACACCAAACACAAGGTGCAAAATGGAATTGAAGATGAGTGAGGAGGTAAAACATACATGAGGAGAGGCTGCAGGAGAGAACCATTAAAAGGTGCTTCTATACTGAGGAAGCTACTAAAGTGTTTGATAGTGTTTACACAATAAAGAATACTTTTTAGTTGCTCTTATAGTAATAATAATAATAGTAACGTCAACTTTTTTTAATATCGTGATATCAACATTGTTATCGTCTGAATAGTAGAAAATACTTTGATGTAAGTAGTTCATTTTGTCCACCGTTTCTGTATTGTGGTTACTCATTTTTTTAGTACCACATAAAGGCAGAATAATGACACAGAAGCCACAACAATTACATATAATGACTTTTTTTTTCAGTATTTAATGTGTCTACCCTTTGCCTTTATTATGGCTTCATTCTTTTCAGGAGTCTTGCTTGCTTTCAAAGAAATACAGGGATATTCAACCAACTTATGTGACCAAAGTTTTGGTTGCAAGTAATCCCAAACACATTCAGTGATGTTGAGGGCTGGGCTCTGGGGTGGCCAGTCAATTAGTCTGAGAACACCAGCAGCTTCATTGTTTGATTTGCATTTCCTTTCCGTTTTATGTATTTCCTTTTTCTCAGTAAGGGCTTCTTGACAACTACACATCTTTTCAGACCCATAGAGCTGGGTTGTCTTGTCACAGTGGAAGGATGGACAAAAGCACCTGTTGCCCTTCCTTATGAATTGTAGATTATCTTATCTCAAATCTGCTTAGAAGTATCTCCTGAAAAATGAATAACTTGTACTTAATGTCTGTTTTTGACAGGAAGTTAAATAACTGAAGTGTGGTCTGATTTTGCACGGTACCCTTTATGCAATCGCAATATTTGGAAATATAATTGCAATGTAGTATTTTGTCTATATTGTGCCTGCCTAACTGTGAGTATAATCTCATTCCTTTTAGGTCAAGTTAGACAGATGATGAATGAGGAAGACCACAGTGATGAAGATCATCCAAAGATGATGCACATAATGATCCCTGCAGCTTACAGCTCTGGAATTACGCTGTTTGCTCTCAGAGATTCTTCTGTTGGTCAGGAACTCCTCAGTGCCCCTGAACTGCCTTTCTTGTGAATCGACAGTGTACCTCCCTACTGAATGACTGGACTCGTCTTACGCCATGCATTGCTGTGCTGTGCGAATGAAGTATAGTGTTGGTATATTAGGCTGTACACAGGTTTTTGGCATGATCACTAACACTTATGTTTCCTCACTGGAAGACAGTGAGAGCCCTGCAACCTGCTAGAACTTGCAAATTTTCAGAAATTTACAAATATGCAAGCTATGTCAGGTTGCACTTGGGATTGTCCTCCATGCATTTGTCAATTAGTAATCAAAATCTGATTATTTATGTCATTAAAAGTCAGTAAATGGTTGGGAAGAATGGTAAACATGCACTGTCTTTTAAGTCTACTTTTGTGACAGATGCTTCATGTTCGTGTTCTTTTAGACGATAAACTTCACGTTAGGTTGGCTTAAGGGATGTGTTTTGCTAACTGTTGAAGGCAATACGCACTGGAGAAAGTTTCGTGTCTTTGGGTCACGCTACCATTGTGGTGGCAAATGGGGTACGATTGTAGATGTGTAATCCAAGTGTGAAGCATAGACTGTTATTTTGAACAACATCAGGAAAGTAACACCTCTTACAAAATTACTAAAATCTGATCTTTTCTGGAGTATAACGGCAACTGGCACGTTAGTTTTGGGTAACACCACTGACACCATCTTGAGACATCTATACAAAAAGTGATTCAAAAAGACCCATCTGCTTTTTTTTTTCTTTTTAATGATGTTGTATGTTTTGGTAACACCACTGACAAAAAATCTTGGGATAAGATTTAATATCAAAATTTCTATTTATATATTTAAAAATACTTTATAAGAACAGATGATAATTTTAACAGATTTTTATAATTTAACCTTAAAAAAAACAAACGTCTAAATTGCTTTCACATCAAAAAATTAATACTTAACTGCCTGTGAACTGCCTGTCACTGGTGTTTTTAATACACAACATGGCTGAAAATCACTAAAATAAAAATTCAAAAAGAAGAATTAACATAGTTTTATTGGTTAATTGATTAAATACACAGACATTTTTCTGTGGTTTATTTTTATATTGAGCTCATTTTCATTATATGAAATCTGTGGGAAACCATTTGCTGAAGTTACATTAGAAACTGTAGGCTACACACACTTGGCTTTATTGTTGAATGATGATTTATCCTCCTTTCAAACTGCACCGAATCACGAAGCAAGAATAAATGTATAAATATTAACACTAAGGCGGGTTTTGTAAAATATCTTCATGCTTCAGTGTATTCTGTGAAATGGTCTAGGCGTTTATGAAACATTTTTTATTGGCTTATGCAACAGGCTAATTTCTTATATTGAACTACAGTACCCATGAGCGCCAAAAATGCATCGCGGAAGTTTGGGAAAACTAGCCAAAATGAAACACGTTGTGTACTTGAGAAAATGGTTATGTATATGCACGCTATAGAACACCCTTTAAATCTGAATACAGTCATACGTTTCGTGGTGGCATACAAAGACGGGGACGTTTGCTAGTTGTTAAATTAGCACGCTTTAACTGAATCCACGTGCTTACTGATTTGGTCACAGCACTTTCTTTTCACAATAAACTCCAGCTGCAGAGTCTAGTGATGAGAAGTTCGATTCAGAACCGACTCTTTCTGCTTGTTCGCGCCAATGGATCGATTTAACAGTGAGTAAGTTTAACATTGCTAGGTCTGCTTCTTTGTGGGGTCAGATTCGTAATGAACAAAGGACAAATACAGCATGGAAAGAGTATAAAAGCCCGTTTCCGCCACTGGAGACAATATTTACGAACGTTTTCCGTTATTGTGACAAAGCATCTCATTATTATAACTTGCTTTCTCATTATAATTAAATTCTATAACGTGGTATCTCACAACAATGAAAATGTTTTTCATTATCATGACTTGCTATTTCATAATAATGATTTACTATCATAATAATGAGAAACATTTGTCGTAATTATGAGAACATAAGTCATAATTATGAGAAAGAAACTCAATTATAAGAAAGTAAATCAAAATTATGAGAAGTCATAATTAGAAGATAAATCATAATTGAATGATAAGATTGAATCTAATTTATGAGGTGCTATGTCAGATAGTAAGTCATTATTATGAGGAGGTAGGTCATAATTATGAGATGCTAAGTCATAATTATAAAATATTAAGTCAATTATGAGAATCTCATTATTACGAGAAAGTAATTCATTATCATGAGAAATTGAGTCATAATTTAAATAAATTGTAATTATAAGATTGTAAGTCATAATTATAAGATTGAATTTCAGAATTATGAGAAAGTAAGTCATAATTATGAGATAGAATCTCATATTATGAGATATCTAGTCATAATAACTTTCTCATTATTATGACGAGCTTCCTTAGAAGAGACACATACAGTCCACAGAAACAAGATGTAGACAGATTTAATAAAATTGTACTTTATATGTATTATGATATATAAAGTACAGTTTCATTCTGTATTATAATTGGGTTTTAATGTGATTTTATGAGGCTACACTGTGGACGATTGTTATTTGAAAATATTTAATTTGACCCCTTCGTGCGTAGATGGTACAAAAACAAAGTTCGATTCAGTGGGACTCGTGAATCGATTCGGTCGAGTTATTGAAGAGACTCGGTTCAAATGAAACGACTCCTTCACGAGTTGGACGTCGTTAGCAGCGTCCCAGCCTTCACAACACCGACTCTTCCACTGCAGCGGACAGGAGCCGGACAAGCTACTTTATCCTCTCTCCTGATAAAAAGGTAAGCCGGTAGTTTAAATCTCTTGGTGAAACATTTTGTATTAACTATCAATGTGCCTGCTAACTTGCTAGGTTAACTTACTCTCTTAAGAAAGTCAGCGTTAGCATCGCTTCTTCTTAACTTTGCACTAATAAGTTAAAAACTGATACCTGTAGTATTGTCACTGTTTCTCAGTGAGCACCTGAAACTAAATTAATGGGTTTGTTAAGGCACAAAATTTGACAGTCTGTCAGTTTGAGCTGTTCGAGCAGATCATGTAGCGTTTAAACAGTTTATTTATTCGTGCACTGTTGTAGTTAGCCTGCAGCTTTCTGAGCTAAAATGAATTAACCTAACATGCTTAACTTCGACCTCGTGAATCACATGGCTGCAGTTATTCTCATCAAACCGAGTAATCAGTCATGTAAATTAGGTGCCTTCTGCATGCTTTTTGCTAATTTGTCTTCTTTTATCGTTATGTTCATGCTCACAATGGCCACAGGTGTCCTTTGTACGATTTCACAACCTTTGGAAATTGTATCAGTGGGCTTCGGTGTCGTAGGTCAAATTGCTTCGATTTGATTTGATCAAAAGCCTGTCTGCCTCGTTTGGTCATTGAAAGGGGAACTCCACTGATTTTTTTAAAAAGATTCTACATAATTAAGGGGTGGAGATACAAACAGCTGTTCAGGGTGGTTTGATGTGAAATGCCCCATTCTGTAGAAACTTGCCGAGTTAGAATGGTTTACAGTGGAGATGATAGGAACCAGACGTCTGAAGAGTTTAATGTCTCTGAAATCTCCCTCACAAAAAGTTATTGCATGACATGATTGTGAATGCACTGCATGATGCCTGAGACGTTGTTTTGCAATAGTTTTCTGCTTAAAATGTATTTCAACCCATTCATGGCGGCAGGGTACATGCAGGGCGTTGTAAGGCAAAATAGTCCCCAAAGAAAACATTATTTCAGATTTATGACTATTTTACCATGATCAACACTACATATAAAACTCAGAAGACGTGTTTCACCTCACTGTTGGTTTTGGATAGGTAATAAAAATGGCTATATTTGTGTTGTAGACATCATGAGCCGTGGTTCCCCACCACTGTGAAGAAATCTGAATCTGTTTCTCTACAATAAACCATTTCACATCAAACCACTCTGAATGACTGTCTACATCTCAATGACTGAATTATTTAGAAATGAAATGAGATGACCAGAGTAACTGTTCACATGTCATGCCTGTAAATCGCCTACATGTGAGCTACATTAAGTGTGGAACTGTTATCCTGTTTTTTTGTAGGTTGCAGCTTAATGAGGTACTTTATGGGTGCATGAATCTTTCCTGCTGTGACGTTTATGTCATGTGGATTTAGGACATTATGGTTGGATAAAAGGTCACTCTCTGGTTTCCTTTAGCCATTAAGATGTGGGTTCCCATCTCATGCTGATAATCCATAGGTCAATTTTTACATGCGATTAAACCTGCTTCTTAAGGGTATTTAATCAAGTATGTTTGTGCTGCACAGTCGGCCTTTGCGTCGTTGTGCCAGTTTGTGTCCAGAAGACCATAGGGCAGAACCGTGAAGAATACTCCAAACCTGGAAACAGGCTGCTGCTACTTTCCATGTAACATAGTTAAAGTAGGGAATTGTAAAGTAAGAAATGTAAAAAAAAAAAAAGTTATCAGAAACTCCTACCATACAGGTGCTTTCACAGACTTACTGGCAGTTTATCAGCCTCCCCTGTACCCAGTCCATCACTGGAAAGAACCACCATAGGACCACCGCTGACCAGATATTATTTGGTTGGTGAACAGCAGTGACACTGACATGGTAGTGTGTGTGGTGCTGATACAAGTGTATCGGATCCAGTCTGTCACCCAAAAATGATCCAGCCAGGAGCAGCTCTGTGGGCAGAAACTGACCACTGATCACGGGCTCAAAGGTGGCTAATAGATATTGTGCATCAACAGATTGGCTACAGTCTGTAACACAGTGGAGCTACAAGGGGATGGCAGCGAAGTGCACTGAAATCTGACTTGCTGAGCCGCTGTAAATACTTGTTATACACACACTTGTTAACATACGCATAAACTGTATTCTTTATTAATGTATCAATGAAAAACTGTTCCTTGTATGGACTGTAGAACGTGGTACTGATGGTTGGGGCCAGGCATAAGAGTGTATATGAAATAAACTGCCTGAAACCATATTAAATTAACCAGACATAGATCCGGTTTTGAAATGAGGGGTGACAACTTTGAAGTATTCATGACAATTTGACTTAAAACAAAAAAAAGTTGACTAAGTGACTGGGACGTAAAATGATGAGCTACAGAGATGGTGAAAATAAAATGAAATTTATTGTTATTTTATTTACCACTTACATTTACACTGTACTTCAGTAGTTCTCTAAAGCTGCCATCATCCACCATGTCCTTCTCTATAATTTTATGTCTTATCACTTGTGGATGTTTGCTTACAACACAATGTAAAGACTTGCATAGAAAGTGATGTTTTTGGTATATAAATATTTTATTTGTGAGGCGCTTTTTGCCATTTGCCTTTGTTTGAGTGGAATTAATCACTGTGACAGTTCATGTTATTTACATGTTTTAATCTAAAGTTAGAAGGTTATTTGTAAGTGACTTTTGTATTTTTATTATTTAAGATTTTGAGTTTCTGGTGTTTGAGGTCTGACAACCATGTTGGGCGACTGACAATCATATCAGTAAAGCACTGTTTAGCTTTTTTACCATATGAATTTGTTATTGACATTTTTAGCTGCTCAAAGTTAAAATTGGATCTATGAAGCAAAACACTTAATAACAGTCTGGTGCTGATAATGATGCCCTGCTTTAAACTTTCTATAATAATTACAACCATTTTAACACTGTTCTTGGAATTCTGGCATCTGATTGACTACTTTATGCTTTACAGGCAATTCCAATGGCAGAGCGTGTGCTTGTGATTGGCAGTGGTGGGCGGGAGCATGCACTGGCATGGAAGCTGGCACAGTCACCTCATGTCCAGCAAGTCCTAGTAGCCCCTGGCAATGCAGGCACAGCCAGCTGTGGAAAGATTTCCAATTCTGGTGAGTGTATATTCTTTCAGTGGTTCTCAATTAGTCTGAACTCATCAGGTGATTACCAAGCCTATCATGGTTAGGTTTGGTTAGGGATTCTAGGCTTGGTTAGGCTTGATTAGGTATTCTAGCAGGAAAATATGTTGGTTCATGGGGTCATCAGAATAGGCTTTGGGAACTAATTTATGTACTATGTTCTGTAAGTCAGACCATTATTGTATTATATCTACAGCTGTATCTTCCAACCCATTTACAGCCATTATATTCACCTCTTCTTATAACTATTTCTCTCTTTCTCTTTCTCTCTCTCTCTCTCTCTCTCTCTCTCTCTCTCTCTCTCTCTCAGCTGTGAGTGTAAGTAATCATACCATCCTGGCTCAGTACTGCAAAGATCATAATGTGGCACTTGTGGTGGTTGGCCCAGAGGTTCCCTTAGCTGCAGGTAAGGAAAAGCCTATTATATTAAGTAGGGATGGACATTTCAGTCAGATTTGATGATCAAATATTATTTAATAAAAAAAAACAAAAAAAAACAACAACACCACCGGGCATCTCCCTATGGTACAACAAAACTTATCCAGAAGTACACCTCAAAAATCCATAGTATGTTCAAGAAAGGTTCTTCATTTACAAACAATTTTGTTTCATACCTTTTAGCTGGTTAGTTTGTGCAGTGTTAGGCAGCTGATACCACACATGATACTTATGGTAAATGGTGTAGAAAGTTCAATACCATTAAATCTGTACAAGTGTAGAGTGTAAAATGAGCTTGAGCTCCTTGTTTATCAGGTCTTTTCTGCAAAGCTTCACATGTGCTATAGCTGTACTGTAAGACACAGGCTGCCCTCTGGTGGAATTTAGAGTTCAGGTGTCTTCTGGTTATCAATTATGAGAATGTGTAACGTCAGAGAGAAGCTAATTGACTATTTGTTTTTTTTACACTTTCATGACAATTTGAAAATTTGCACTTTGCCTTAATGCTGAGCAGGGGTGTAAATGTCTAATGTCGCAACTAGAGATGCACCGATCCAGTTTTTTCTCAGATTTCGCTGATACCAATTTTCACGTCTAGTACTGGCTGATAATGAGTACCAATCCAATACCAGTGCTACGTTAAGCCATTTACATTTTGTTGTAGCTTTGTTGTAGTACATCAGTATGTTGTAGAGGGTAATGCACCATAGTGGAGATTCACTATGGTACATTCACTATTAATAGTAGGAAGTTCTAGAAAGTTGATTCAGAAAGAAATTTGATTCAAGAACACATTGGAAAAATATAACTGCACTTACTCTTTACTTTGATTGACATCACATTGTTCAGTGATGCCCTGGAAGGAATTGCTGACGGTTGATGAGAATCTTCTTGCCACAGGTATCGTGGATGACCTGACAGCAGCAGGTGTGCCGTGCTTCGGGCCCTCAGCGAAGGCTGCCCAGCTGGAGGCCAGTAAAAGCTTCTCCAAAAGCTTCATGGACCGTCATGGCATCCCCACAGCCCGCTGGAGCTCCTTCACTGACCCCAAGGAGGCCTGTAGCTACATTCAAGGGTAAGTGCACAGAGAGGATGACTAAGAGGGTTGGAATGCTGTTGTGTAGTTAGTTAGTTAGGCTGATCTGGTGGGAAACCACACCATTTCAAACAGCTTGGCTAATCAGCCATCCGATATAGGCTAACCAAACCATTTTTTTGCATGAAAAGTGCTATATAAGTAATAATAATAATAATAATTATTATTATTATTATTATTATTATTATTACTATTATTATTGTTATTATTATTATTATTATTATTATTATTATTATGTATAATTTCAAACTTTTATACAGAGCGGATTTCCCAGCTCTGGTGGTGAAAGCCAGCGGCCTGGCTGCGGGGAAGGGAGTTATCGTAGCAAAGGATAAGGACGAGGCCTGCCAGGCGGTACTGGACATCATGAAGGTCAGTGAGCCCAGTTATTTCTTTGACTCTGTCTTTTGTTGTTGCTTCACTGCTCACATTCAGTCAAGCCAAGAAATATCATTCTGCACATCCAATAAAAGAGTACAGTTCTGTTACGTAATATGGAGCTAATGTTGCTCTACAGAGTAGAAACATGGAGAAATGTATTCCCTGTTTAAATTCTTAGTTACTTTATCATTTGTTTTATCACGTTAGTAGTGTTACTGCAGTTTATAATGCAGTTTTTGCTGTTCGAGCTGTTGAGTTCAAGGATGTCCCAGTCTAATTTAGATTGGATTGGATTAACCACTTCTTATCTTGGCTTCTTTTTTGCCCTTTATTTACCACACTTTCGTAGATGTGATGTAAACAAAGATCGCACAATATCAGTACTTTTTTTTCCAGCTACTGACATTGAAATCTTGATTATCAACTGATACCAGTCCAATATTTTTTCTTTAAAATATACTAAGCTTTAAATTGAGCAGTTTTTCAATGAAGAACTTCAGATGAGCATCACAGTAGGCTGTCATGGTGAAACTACTGAAACACTCTACTAGCCCACAAGAAAAACTACTACACACACTACAGTGTGTGTGCTTTCAGAATAGATTTCTTTAAGGATGGGATCAGATTTACTACTTTTTCCCTCTGATGTCCAGTGCAGACTAAAGTGATCTTACTGTAGCATTAGTGAAATCTAGCATATGAGTGGCCCACACCGTTTTGACTAAGATTGCTCCTAATGTAAAAGCCTTGTCTTATAAAACACAGAACACTTTGGGAATATAAAAACTGCATATGAAGAGTGGTCTAGAGGGGTCTTTATCCTTGCAGCCTTTTATGATAATCAGTATTGCAGAGGCCAGTATTGCAATTAAGACTGTTGTGATTATTCAATGAACAAAAAAAGGTAAAAATCCTAGATTAAAATTTATGTTCTCTAAATCGGCTTGGTGATTTAGTTTCCAATCTAAATGATTATCAGAGTGGCCGCAAGCCCCATTATAAAGCCGTGTTTAGCAGCCTGAAGATCCTCCTCAAGCGCTTAAATCCATACTAGAAGGGTCTCATAATCGCAAATATGTTGTAGATACACATTGTATGTATCTGTAGTAAAAATAAGTGTTTGCTGTTTGAAATTACATGTATATGAAAGGAAACTATATATGAAACAAAACCGTTTGTTTAACTATAGCTAGGCTGAACAACTCAGCAGACAGCTAACAGACTACTCCAATAACGTTTAGTTAAGCTGTACTAAAGGATTCTATAAAACTGCAGCATACTAAGTAAAGAATTGTGGACTCATGTCTTGATTGTTTTTAACATTGTCCTTGTAGGACAAGGCTTTTGGCACTGCTGGTGATACTGTGGTGGTGGAAGAATTGCTTGAGGGAGAGGAAGTGTCTGTGAGTGTCTCTTCTTACAAATATATATACACACACAAAATATGTATGTGTCTCCTGAGCATTAACCCTTCTATCTTCGTCTTAGTGTTTGTGTTTCAGTGATGGGTCCACAGTGGCTGCTATGCCCCCTGCACAGGACCATAAGAGGCTACTAGATGGAGACCAAGGTCCAAACACAGGGGGAATGGGTGCTTACTGCCCCACCCCACAGGTAAACAGCCCATTATGCTTCAGTTTTTGTCTCTATTTGGGTGACAGTATTTTTTTTTTATGTCAGCTGGACAACTAAAAATAAAATTCAGAATTCATTTCATTAAAACAAGCCATGAGTTTGGGCGTAATATTGATTTTTCGATCAGCGTAACGATAAAACATGACCATTGTGAGATTATAATCCTATTCATATTTTCTTGTTCAAAAATGTTGTTTGAGCCCCAAAGATCAGATACTTTACCTATTGAATAAATGCAATAAAGAGATGGGCACTCAAGTAAGTGACTCATACTTCGCTCTCAAGTTGCATGTTGACTTGACTGGCAACTGGACTCTGACTTGTGCTTAACTGACTCTCGACCCGGATGTGCACTTAGCAGACTCTCGACTCGCATGCGTGCTTAGCTGCCTCGTGACTTGACTTGGGCTCTCATTCAACTGATGTGAAATTTGACGCGAATGTACCCTTGACTCGCCTCAGAGGTGCATTTAACTGCCTCTCAACTCAGACCTGCGCTTTTTGCCTTCCAGTGTTTTTTGACAGTCATGTGCCGTGTCTGTGTTTACGGGCAACATAGATATTGTAGTGAATTTACTTTTGCATCTATAGTCACTGCCATGACTCAAAATGCTCTCTTTTTTTTTCTTTTTACTCATTGGCACAGTCGTTTTATTTTTTATTTTCAAGTAAACCATCTGGAGTAAATGCCGAGTACTTCAGGGACTTTCCAGTCCAAGTCATCCTTTTTGGAAAAAGTAAAGAAATCAGGAAATGTAAACATCTGTATTTACTAAAATACCATTTTATATGCAGTGCTCGTGGCTTGTGAACATCTCTGATACAATAACAACATTCAGAAATCACATTATCAACAGGAAGAAGTAGATGAAACTGCCGAAATGGTCACTTATTTGAGTCAGCCTTAAAGGGTCAAGTTATCCAGCTAAGTGCCTTGTATTTGTGAACAGCAAATAAAAGCAACTGCATATGTGTGCATTTAGGTGTCTGAGGAGATGCTTCAACAGATCAAAACCACTGTTCTGCAGAAGACTGTAGACGGCATGAAAGAAGATGGCATACCATATGTGGGTATGTGATTTGAACTTATAGTAGGTATAAATCCACTGCTGTTTTGTAGTTTTATTATCTGATGTTTATTATCAATACAGTAAAATTTCATAAACAAAGCCATTTGGTAATGTTGTTTTGAACAGCTGTTCTATGACCTTTGAACCCCTGCCCCCCCTGCAGGTGTGCTCTACGCAGGGCTGATGTTGACTAAGCAGGGGCCAAAGGTGCTGGAGTTCAACTGCCGCTTCGGCGATCCTGAGTGTCAGGTCAGTGTTTAGAGTATTTAGTGTTTCGTTTTTGTGTGTTTTACTGACTACTGTTTTTCTTGGATTAGATAATCAGTACATCAGGCAGTCAATTTTATAGATTAGACTGCACATTTGTTTCTCTTTTTGCCTAAGAAAGATTGCATGCCTGTGCAAAATGCTGTTTTCTGACTGCGGTTACAATGTGCCTTGCAATATAAAATAAAATGATTAATATCATTATTTTGTGTCAGTCACAAAAGCAGTGCATTTTGTAATTGTTATGAGTGGAATAAACTCCATCTTTCCAGTAATGCAGTAAGGTTATTTTCCTCATAAACTCAGGATTCATCAACCTGAACGTGAAAATCATGTGATTTCTATAGGGTAAACAGTATTTTTATCACTAACTTCCAGTGAGAGCAAGAGTGGCAGCGAATTCCAACCCGTGTCAAAACAGTGTATATATCATATGTCAAACACTGCATGGCCACTTCATTAAGTACACCTCCTTGTATCTACCCGCTTTGTCCATTTTATCAGCTCCCTTTAGGTACACTTTGTACTTCGGATATTACAGACTGTGGTCCATCTGTTTCTCTGCATGCTTTATTAGCCCCCTTTTACCCTGTTCTTTAACAGTCAGGACCCCCAAGGACCACCACAGGGTACGTTCTCAGCACTGCAGTAACACTGATTTGGTGGTGGCGTTTTAGTGTGTGTTGCACTGGTACGAGTGGATCAAACACAGCAGTGCTGAGTAGAAACAAGGAAGTATATTTAATTGGGGGACCCGGTCGGTGTATACAGTCAATAGTTCCAGCTCCTCCATGATTGTAGCCTCTCGCTCTTGCTTATGCAGCACATGGATTCTTGTTCAAGTGGAGGCTCTGGAGGGGAACTTTTGATGTTGCTTTTGTTTGCTGTTCATTTGTTTGTCCATAGTTATCACTTGTATATTGCAGTCTTCTGCAATATTTATAGGGCATATGGAGCATAAATGTACCTACTTCATGCATGACATTGGTGCATAAATACACTCTTTTTGACCTTCATGAGACATTGTGTTGTTTCTCATGTGCTTTCTCTGCTTTCTCATGAATTGATCTTGTCTTTCTTCATTTCTGCACTAATATACTGCTGTATTCTCAGGTGCTGCTGCCCCTGCTAAAGAGTGATCTGTATGAGGTGCTAAAGAACACACTGCAGGCTAAACTGGCCTCCGATCCTCCTGTGTGGCTAGACAACAGTGCTGCGGTCACTGTGGTCATGGCCAGTGAAGGCTATCCTGGAGCCTACAAAAAGGGTGTCGAGATCACAGGTAAGATGCTATAAAGTATGGGATTGTGAAAGTAGGGCTGGACATGAGCACGTGCTCAGTTTTAAGTGTGAGTAGTATTTTTAACATAGAAGACAACAAAATGCTAATCCTGGTGTAATAAACAACATATTGGATTATCATACAAAAATACAAACACAACACTTTTTTTAAACACAGAATTAGCTGAAACCAAGCTAAAAACAAGGTGAAACAGAATCCCCACATTAGTATATGTTGTGACTATCATAGCAGCGCAGCACATTTCTAGGAAAAAAACCTTGGAAATTTTTTCTGCTGCAAAATGGGAGCAAAACCAAAAGCGTAGCATTTATATTTTTGTTCAGTATATAAATCCATTCAAACTTTAGATTTTTGTAAGACCTTGCAGTTTTAATGGGCTTTTTATATTCAACATGCGTTATTAAAACTTCGAAACATCTTTTGAAAAATCTATAATTTTTATCCTCAAATTCACTTTCTTTTTTAACTCTGTAAAATTTTAGCACTGGCTATCCAACTCCACAAACTGTCACATTTGTTTGACCTGTTGTGAGTGAATGGCTAGGCTTTTTGTTTTTGTAATCTTTAATAGCATGAATGCCTCAGTTCATTTTGTCAGTATAGTCAATAAGTGTCTATTTTCAGTCCTGTCCAGCACAGTTTAATTTTTTTCCTTATTAAACCAACCTACTACTAAACCTGATAACTAACTGATGACTTGGATCAGGTGTGTTTGAGAAGGAAAACTGAACTGTACACAAGTTCAGATGAGTTTCTTAGATTGTTTCAATTGTAATTTTGTAAAATGGCAAACTCTTATTAGTCTCTGTATGTCTGCAGGTCTGTCTCAGGTCACAGAGATGGGGCTTCAGGTGTTCCATGCTGGCACTGCGCTGAAAGAAGGGGGTGGAATTGTGACCAGTGGTGGGCGTGTTTTGACAGTGACTGCAGTTCGGCCCACTCTGGAGAGTGCCCTGCACAGCGCCAATCAGGGCGTAGCTGCGGTGGGCTTCACCAACGCTGTGTATCGCAGAGATATCGGCCACCGCGCCATCGCTTACCTCACCCGCACCAGGTGCGTGTAAGGAGCTGATCATTACACAGCCTGTATTCTGATCAGAGTAGGAGCATATTTGGACTTAGGAGTGTATTTGTTTTAATTAACAGTGCAGTCACTGAGAGAATAGGAAGATCACTAATTTGAACACAACTGATAGACTCTGCTTACACCTAACAGCTGATATGACTGACCTTAATTCCTATATTTCATGACCGTTATCTGGTATACTGTTCACTCAAGACAAGTAACACTATTAATGGAAGACTGCTTGGGGAAGTTGGAGTTAATAGGATCAGATTTGAGACTCTGTGTTGCCATGTACTTTGTAGTAGTAATATTTGTTTACTTTTTGTAATAAATATGAATTAATATAAACAAGAACTTGTGTCTGTTTGCAAGAATGAAGCACAATGAAATGCATCAAAAGCCAAAGGGTTCTTCATCAAAAGCCAAAAGGGTGCACTGATTCATGTCCACTTTTGTCCATTCACAGAGGACTGACTTATAAGGACAGTGGAGTTGACATAGCTGCAGGAAATAAGCTGGTGGACATAATCAAACCTCTGGCTAAGGCCACATCTCGCACAGGTACTTGTCTTAAAAATTATGAAATGGCCTAGCATAAAATTAAGAAATGACTCTATGAAATAGTTACTTTACACAAGTAGTCAAATACAAATGCTGTTAGTTCAGAGTGTACGTACCGAAAATGGAAAAAAAAATGATTTCACTGCAGAATATTACAGTATTGGTTGCCATATCATCAAATAGGTAAATTGGATTTGATCAAAAGTCAATATTTCACACACTGTCAGATAGTCATTTTGAAAAAGTAGGCTAAAAAAAAACAAAACAGGTTGATCCAGAATGTCACTTTGGGGCAACTGCACGGTCATTAGGTTAGCTGAGTTTTAGAATTTAACCTGAGTAAACCTGACATGGGCTCTTGAACTCCATTGCTGTGTTTATGAAACCTGCAGTTTAAAAGCACAGTTGCAATTTAAACTATACCCAATTGAAGTGTCATTTGACTTCCACTAGATGGTGCTGTATATCTGCTTTAACTGAGGTTTGTCTTAAACCTGCTTTTTGGTTTTACTGAGATTGTAAGTAAGGTTATTGCAGTTGAAGTACATTTTCAGCTGACATATTTTAACATTCTGTACTTTGGCCAATATACTTGATGTCATAATGTTTTGGACTTTATGGCATGTTTTAATTAAATGCTATATTGCAAAATGAAATACACACTGAGGTACTGCACTCAACTAGAGGAAGCATTATTCATTGCAGTCTTGATGAGGCTTTTTCAGAATGTGTTGTTTTTCAGAATGTATTGTTCAAATAGGTGACCTGTGTTTAGGCTATGACTGTTATTGACTCCAAAGGGAAACTGTAGCACACATGCAGTTCATCTCAACATTTATTCTTCATTTTCCCACCTCCACACAAGAAAAAATGAATGAAAGAAAGAAAAACAGAGCACTAGCCAATTTGATGTTATATTCAGTTTAGCAGAAGTTTAGCGGTGGATCAGTTAGACTTGTGCTTGTTTTACCTGAGCAGCTGTGTGTTCCAGAAGGTTTAAGTTACACCTCTGAAGTTACTGTCATAGTCAAACCTGTGTTAAACTTGGACTAAACAGCTGCTAAGATACTAACAGAGCAATTGCCAATGAACTGATTTTACTGTAGGATTAATTAGCAGAGTAATATGATCTTCCCTAAGCTGTGCAGCTATATATATATATAATGAGCGTTATCAATAATAGTTGATTATAATCTAAAATCGATGCAGTTTAATCACCATAACAATTTTTACAACCTGCACAGTTTTACAGTCACGCAGTTAATATGCCCAGTCAGTTTAATATTTTTATTTTGTGCACATCATTATTTTCTTCAGGCTGCAATGTTGACCTCGGAGGCTTTGCTGGGCTCTTTGACCTAAAAGCTGCTGGGTTCGTTGACCCCATCCTTGTAGCTGGAACTGATGGAGTTGGCACCAAACTGAAGGTGCTGACATTTCTTCCTTATCCACAAACCTTCATAAACTGCTGTGTCTGCTTCAAATATTAATTTTCTGCCAACATCCATTTAGATTGCCCAAGCCTGCAACATCCACAACACACTCGGCCAGGACCTTGTGGCTATGTGCGTCAATGATGTTCTGGCTCAAGGGGCGGAGCCTCTTTTCTTCTTAGACTATTTCTCCTGTGGGCATCTGGATGTGGGCGTGGCCTCGTCTGTGATTGGTGGGATTGCGGAGGCGTGTCAGATGGCAGGATGTGCTTTACTGGGTGAGTCACTGTTGTGATTTCCTCTGTAACTAAAAGACATGATAACAAAAACAGTAAACACAGTGGAGTGGTTCTGATATTTTACAGCTAGCAGCTGCTATTGGAGATGCTAACACCATCTGAAAGAAAGTAAACAAATCCTGTTGCCTGGTGAAAATTCACAAATATCAAACAGAGCCTGAATAAAAAATGTCACATTTTTGCAATTCGAAAAATTCACTAAGCAAAAATTATGCATCTAATTCTATTGAACTGAGACAGACCTCCTTTCAGAACTTAAAATGACTTAATTAAAGTGCGTTCCTGAGTCCATTTCTCCCTATTAATTTTACCCCATTAAAAACTACTGCGGTGCGCCAGATGGGCAATTTATGAAAATATATATTGACCAACACCAGCTTTGACCAGCAGGGGACAGCTGTTTTCTTTTTTTCCTCCTTGTCCTCTCAAAAATCACTGGGGAGCTAACTGGTGAACAATTAGCATGCTATTGCTAAGTCTTTTTTTACTTGGTCCCTGAAGGGTAAAATAAAAAAACAAACAAATAAACAAACATCCACCACTGCTAGTAAAGCTATGCCGATGACACGCAGTTATGCATTTTGATTCCTTCTGATGAGCAAGACTCTGTAGACAGATATTGTCAGATATGTCAGATATTTCTCAGTGAATGTCACAAAATTTCTTACAACTTAATAACAAAAAAAACTGAAATACTGATACTTGGTATCAAAACTAAAGAGAAAGATGCTTTATGAGAAGCTCGGCTCTTTAGTTCTGTTTTTTTTTTTATTTGTTACAAGCAGAGTTGATTACTGTAATGCTCTTCTTACTGGGCTTCCTAAGAAAACATCCTGGACATCCTCTACAACACGTAAAATGTAGCAGCACAAATCTTAACAAAAACAAAAAAGATCATATCACTCCTATTTTAAAAGAGCTGCACTGACTACCTGTATTGCTCAGAATCGATTTTAAAGTTCTGCTCCTAGTTTTTAAGGCTCTGAATGACCCTTAGATCTGCAGATACTGGCTTTCTGCAAATATCTTCTGTAAAATACAGAAAACATTGAGAGGCTTCTTTCGGTTCTTATGTTTCTCTTATGTTTTTTCACCTGGTCCCCAAAAAGTGAGGGTAAAAAATTAAACAACTGCCCCCTTGTAGTCAAAGCTGATCTAAGATGCGAAGTGTTAGCCCATATTTTTTCATACAATGGTGAAAAAATGTAGGGAGGAAAAACGTTTTTGATGGCTAAATTTGTACACATGAAGCTAGAACTAGGGACTGAACAGGGCTGAACAGAACAGGCAGAAACAAATCTTACCCTTCAGGGTTTCTGCATAAAACAATTGGTAGCGTTCACCGACTTGAAGGCAGCATAATCTCATTGACTGACTAATGCAGTTTGCGCTCACTGATGTTGCGCATGTGCATAAGGTTCTTGTATAAAGAACACCTCCATTTTCGTCTCACTTGGGAGACATTATTGAGAAACAGTTCATCTCACTGTAAATTCTTTGGTAAGGCTATTTGTCAAGAATGCAAATTTACATTTTCCCCTAAGTCAAACTGAACACGGAAGTCTCATGGCAAATTCTATGCACTCTCATTTGCAAAATTCGTCTGATAGATGGTGTGCCTGAAGCCTGATTTGCATTGTGCATTTTTCCTATTTTTTTATAGTTTCAGAAACCACATAAGCACTTGAGTGTTTGAGTTTGTTTTTTTGCAGAGCTATCGCTTTAAGAAATATATTTGTTCGTGTTCAGGTGGTGAGACTGCTGAGATGCCGGGAGTGTATGGTCCAGGAGAGTATGACCTGGCCGGGTTTTGTGTGGGAGCAGTAGAACGGGGGTCTCTTCTACCCAGGCTAGGAGACATTCAGGAGGGAGACCTGCTGATTGGTGTGGCCTCATCTGGGGTGCACAGCAACGGTTTCAGCCTGGTTCGCAAAGTCCTGGAGCGGGCTGGCCTCCAGTACAGCTCTCCTGCTCCCTTTGGGCAGCCTGGACAAACTTTGGGTACAACTTTTATGAATGAGATACTCTTTCATTTTGGGTCAAAAATCTGAAGTTTCTGCACTGAAGAAAATATTCAAATTCCTCCACATTGGAAACATTTAAGTTTTGGAACAGCGAGTAACTGACCATTGTTTCACTTTTTTATTTTGCAGGCTCTGCTCTGCTCACACCAACTAAAATCTATAGCCGCCTTCTCCAGCCAATCCTGCGCAGTGGAGCAGTGAAGGCCTACGCTCACATTACAGGAGGTGGTCTCTTGGAGAATCTTCCTCGAGTTTTACCCAAAGAACTGGCTGTAGATCTGGGTGAGATGCACATAAACAGTGGAATTTGGTGATCTGGTGTTCATGATTGTCTTATATGATTCCTTCTTAATATCTTATTTTAGATTTATATAGCAATTTATATATTGCTTTAGTGTACGTATACTACTGCCACAATTTATATACTAATTTAATTATAATACAAAGGTAGTCAAACTATAAGAACTACAGAAGCTTGAGTCCTAGATGCACAGTGATTAGTGATTTTTCCTACTCTATTGCATGTAATTTACACTACACAGCAATAGCCTGGAAGAAGCGCTAACTTTGTAACAATAAATATAAAATGAACAATATTTGGACAATGTTTATTAAAATGAAACAAAAGGTACAAGGCAATAGAAAACAATGAACTTATTCTTCCTTTGTTTTGCCCCTGGTCATCGTCATGGTCATGGATTTACCTCAAGTTGGCTTCTTATTTCAGTTTCTGTCTTAAGTGGTGCAACAGTTAACATTCAGGTGCCTGTACAGGTGCCTAAGGGTGCATTTAGACTTGGCAGGTTTGGTTCGATTGAAAAAAACCCTGGTATGAATGCTCTGTTTGTGTGGTTCATTAGAGCAAGTGAGAATGCTGCCATGCAAACATGCTGCAAAATGATCTCTGATGCGGTTAGTTTGAAGTATGAATGCAGCACTGATCAAAGACATCTAAACAGACCAAAGACAGAATGAATTCTTTGGTATGTGGGAAAAGACAAGTTTCTGATGTCGTTTTGACACATGCATGTGTTTTATTGTCTCTTCATAAGCTCAGAATTGGTAATTATAGAACAGATAGTTTCGGTTTTAAACAAGGCTGAACCATGTTTGAGGTCATTATGAAATACTCCATATATTTGACTGCACACATAAGCTGTGTATTGAGGCACCAAGGTTTTGTAAAAGCAGTAAACCACTTAAGGCTGTTAACAGAGATTTCACCCTGCTCTGCATCGTGCAAAACCACAGTAACACAGGGAGCCTTGTGGCTTATTGCTCTAATATCACAACACAGATAAAACAAGACATAAATAGAACCAGCGAGGTAGTAGGCTGCACAAAGGTGAGCCTAGATAGAACAGACAGCAGCACGACTCAAAGTTTGGTGGACGTTATCAGTTATTTTATATCATGAAATCTGCCCAGTCAGTTAAAACGCAACAATGTATGATGTTCTGCTTTGGTCCGGACCAAAAGAACAACAGTACAACGCGAATATAAAAGCACCCTGAATTTAACTGCTGTTCCAATTAAGGTGGAATGGAATATTCAAACAAAAAGGCAGCTGAATAACAAGGAAACTTGTAGAAATTAACACTTCAAACAACATTTAGCACCGGTTTTGCCAAACCTGTGAGGCTACTGTTACAATGCAGTTTTGGCATAGGTTTAACTATATATTTTCTAGTTTTGTTTTTACTGTTTTGCACAATAACAAAAAAGTGAAGTAGCAATGACAAGTAATACAGTAACAATCTGCTGCTGAGCTACAAATAAAAATGTACACAAGTGTCTAAAGTCGCTTTATTTGAAAATATTTACCATAAGAAATTTTAATTGTACTGTGATATAAATTTTTGGCCATACTGCCCGCCACTAACCACCTGGGACCTGGATAAAAGGATTCTGTTACCAGCCCTGGCCTAGCTCTAATAATGTCCACCTGATTTTCACAGGTGCTCCTAAAGTCTTGATGAACTGTTACATTATAGGTAAAGTGTGAAGTAGTCAGTAGTCAATTAGTAAAGACGGCTTTTAGTAAGAGTACATCGCTGCAAACCACAGGAATATTTCAGAGAAACATCTTTGGTGAAATAAGGTGTCATTGAACATGTGCTGCACTGGATGTTGCCAAATTGAGCTAACTATAAAATATTTTTTAAAATGAATGTCTGTATCCTTATTTTTGGCCTGTAAGATCCTTAAAGGTTAGAACTCACTGTTGTCTTCACAGACAGTTGTATTAATACCAGTCTGCTTTCAGATGCTACGCGTTGGAGAATTCCTCCAGTGTTCTCCTGGCTCCACAAGGAAGGTTCTCTCTCAGAGGAGGAAATGGCCCGCACCTTCAACTGTGGACTGGGAGCGGTGCTGGTAGTGGGCAAACAAGAAGCTCAGAGGGTCCTCAGACAGCTACAGGCCGAGGAGGAGGCGTGGATCGTAGGCTCACTCACACACAAAATGCCTGGTAAACAAGCCATGGGAAAGTACTGCCACTTATGGTTCACAGCACATATATTACAGTGAAATAAGTTAACCCTTAGAAATGTAGCATTAATATAATAACTGCAGCTTCTACAGGTTAAAGAGAGGGAGAAGCAAACATTTACTGACCCTACCCACTGAATGTGCAAATACTGTACAGTTCCGTGCAAAATGGGTTAGATTGCAGAGTTGAAATTTTCCTGTTGTGGGTCTAGTAAGTGTCACTTAATCTTAATCTTAATAAGTGTTCTATCAGTATTTCTTCACTCTTTACTTTTGTGCAGCCTACTACCTCTTTAACTCTTTCATCCTTCAAATCTTAAAACCAACCAGTTTTACCAACCCAAAAAATCCGTTCCCAAAGGAGTCACTTACCTTATGTTCCCCTTTCAAAGACACACTAACAATCATACAAGTAACTACCCAAACACCTTAACTGCCTAGTAATTTTTTACATTTTTGCACCAACAAAGATTAAACTTAAACTTGGTTTAAATCAAGGTTTAGCTATTATTTACTATAGTTGCACCAAAGTTTTAAACTAGTTTAAAATTAGTCAGGGTTACATTTAAAACACCATTTTAGTCCTGGAGTACATTTACAGTGAATCTAGATTACATTTAAACCTGTTGCACCTTTACTTTCAAAGTTTCAGGGATTAAATTTAATCATCCATTTAAGGTGGTTTAAATTTACAAAATGTGTTTAAAAATGGCAGTTCTTTGCAAAATGGAAAATCTGTCTCTAAGTGAAACTATATATATATAAAGCATCTCAGAAAACTTGCTTTTTAACTTTTAGCTTATTAGCACTCAAGTAGCTTTTGTGACTGTCTCTGAAATAGAAGCAGAAAAAGCACCGCAGTTGGATCACAATAATCCATCTATCCTTGCGGTTACAAGTTTCATGTATATGAAGTAAACAACTGAAGACTAAATACACCCCATTTACGGATGCGTTATTGTTTTAATAGTTGATCTAGGTTGAACAGTGTGGCAGTTATCTAGCAAACAGGCTACTCTAATATAATATTTGAAGTTTGGCTTTAGATTTGAGTAATTATGGGGCATTAACTGTAAAAGCGCAACAGAGTAACATTCAGAGTCTGTATTTAAAATATTTGTATTTAAATTAGCAACAGGCTTGTGTATAATTTAAGCAATATTCTGTAGTTTGGCTGAACGACCCCCCATGACGCCGAGCCTGTGAGGTGTAATAACACCTTAAACACCTGAATTCTGTGTTTGCTGCTTGTGAGAAGCGGAAAATACAACCAATTTCTAAGACTGAACTTTAGAGATGTGGTCTCTGACTTCTGCACAGTACTATATATTAGGCTAAAGTGATAAGAGAACCACTTTTCCCAGAGTGTTTTAGTAGACCGTATTTATAGGTTTCTATGAAAATGCTTGTTGTGTATTTCTGGGAATCTAATTCCCATTTCTGTAGTAATATACTCTTTAAAATAAAGGCTCCTAAAAGTTGTTACTTCTAGGAAAAACGGAAGGTTCTTTAGGGATCCAAAAGTGGTTCTTGTATTGCATCATTCCAAAGAACCCTGTGTGGCTACTTTCACGTTACCAGGCTGAAGTGGCACAAATCCATTTTTTTGCCTTAAAGTGACAGATTTTTTTTCAGAGCAGTTTGAACACACACATTTCAAATCAGATCTGAGCTACTGTTGTATGTGATCCTAGATCGGATACATATCCAGTTTGTGGCCATGGAACCTCCGATCCGAATTCATGAGGGATGAAATGAGCCAGTAAATGCTACAAAAGTAAATGCATCTGACCCTTTTTCACCCTCATCTTGCTCTAACATTAAACAGCTAAGAGCTGCTCAGAGCAAGTTTTCTTCGCAATGAAAGCTTGTTCTGTTGGTTAGTTTGTTGTTTATGATGAACCTGGTTTGTTCGCTTGATGTTATTGATTAGGATGTGAACATGAGGGTTGTTTCAGGACACAGGTTCGCTCATATTATTTGACAGATTTGAGTCACTTACCTACACTAGTGTGAACCATTAAGATTTTTGAGCAATTCATTGAGCAACAAAACTTGTAATGTGAACATTTATTCCAGTTTATTACAGTCATCTGTTTGTTTGTTTGTTTTTTATTTAAATAAATAGGTGGCGAGGCTGTGGTGATCAGAAATCTGGAACACAGTCTGAGGGCCGGCCCCAACCCCTGTCCTGACACCAGCGTCCTGCAGAACGGAGCTTCTCACACAGATTCCAGTTCTCGCAAGAGGACCAAGGTAGCTGTACTCATCTCTGGGACTGGTGAGTATCAGCTTAATTATTTATCAAGTATTATTTTATAAAATGTCATCTATAGTCATGTAATCTTTAAGTAAGGCACAAAGCAAAGTCGAACTTGATGATGGCCAGTGTAAAAAGTGCTCAAGACAGTTTGACTGTTTTAGTATTATAGTATTATTACATTAGTAGCACTATAAAAGGTGAGTGGAATTATGTGTAAGCTCCTGACACTACAGCATTAACAAATAGCTAAAATAATACAAGTAAATACTGATATATTTTGGTGTGTGTGGCAGGCACTAACCTGCAGGCCCTGATAGAGCAGACCAAGAAGTCATCCAGCTCTGCTGAGATTGTCGTGGTCATCTCAAATCGTCCAGGTGTGCTGGGCCTGAAGAGAGCTTCAATGGCAGGCATTCAGACACGGGTACGTTCCTCTCACTATTTTCGTGATACATAATGTTTGTGATGAACGTTATGCTTCTCTGAGCGTGTCATGTATATCGTCAGTAATTTAAAATGTGGCACTACTCTTGCATTGTGTCAAAATATTGATACATATTGTGTATCCTGAAAATGTCTTTAAATATCATATGATATTTTGCCATATTGCCCACCCCTAATATGCATTTATCAGTTTCTCTCCCTTCACTGCTAGCACCATTCACGTTTTTACTGTGTAATAAGTGGTTTATTCTTTTCAGGTACAGTGAATTACCAGTAGCCTTTTTGCCCCAAGTACTTCCTGTAATGTCTTGCAGTCTGTCAGAATATGTGTACATGTTGACATGTTTTTACAGTCTGTTACGTTCCCCTCAGATGTAGCTAGGGGTGGAGGGGAAATAACATGGCATGTGATGGAGATGGAAGGGAAGGACACAAGTACACAGTAGTGGCGTTTGCAAGCAAGTCTTTAGTTTGCTTCTCACTTGCAAAAGTGTCTGATACAGGAACAATATATTTGCAAGGAAAGAGGGTTAATATAATAAGCTGAGCTGAATGCGTATAGATTAAAAGAAAAGGAGTTAACTAACCACCAAGTATGCAAGAACATTGACTAAGGGGACCCAAGCAACTGCAAGGGTGGACAGAGGAAAGAAATGAAACAAACCAAAAAACGAACCAAAATCTAATCTGCCTAGCCAAGTCTAATCCTCACCAAAATACAACGGGTGGCACTCGCCCCTTACCTGATGTGTCTAAACATTCCGACCACTATTGTGTATGCATATGTATAGGCGCGCCCAACTTGCCTGTCTACACATGCGCTGAGAGAGAGAGAAAACAGTAGAGAGAGATAACTAGAGAGGGAGCACGTGAGACTAGCACTACTGGTTACATATTCACGGCTAAAGTAACACAGCTTGATACTACAAGTCTCATGCACGCTAAACGCTCCCCTCCATAACTAGTCTCAGGTGAGTCCTTTTATCTGCCAAGGCCCGCCCCTTGGCAGAAAGCAGCCATCCGGATTGGTAGAGGGAAGAGCACAGCCAAGCATATGTTGTCCACATTGGTCCTTTTATCCACCCCTGCACCACGATCTGGTTGGGTGAAAGAGGGGAGGGAGAGAGAGAGAGAGAGAAAAAAAGAAAAACAAAACATACGTGCATCGCAGGCACGTAACATAGTCGATATCACTGACTTTGTCATTGCAACTGCGGATGCACCAATACCACCTTTTCCCTTCCAATACCGATACCTAATCCTCAAGTATCTGACACCAATACTCACTCTAATCTAAGTACTCCAGCTATTCTAATCTAATTACTCCACTTAATATTTATACTATTTCCTCCTCTTTTGACCAGGGTATATATTGGTTTTTCCATCTGAATTTACATGACCAAATCGTAAGGCAAATTATTTAGTAACTGCATGAAATTAATTTAAATTGTTTATTTATTTTAAAAGCTTCTCTCAAATTAACAGAAAATGTGTTTTATGATCGTACACATATTGCTATACGCTTACAATTTACTGCTGAAAGCCAAAAATCTTAGACACTCTTTATTATTTCATAAAAATAATTTTTACAGAGCAGATCACTGAAAAGATGCCATCTGTTTATAGTTTATAGCCCATATTTGGGGAAAAATGGGTCGACTTTCAGTAAACAAAACAAATTGTGAGTTTAGCTTCTTCTGTTATAAGGGTTTAAAATTACATTACCCATCTATTTGACTGGAAAGAAGACAGTTACAGCTCTCATATGACAGCCACCTTTTGAATGTAGCTTATGAAATATGAAAGTTATGAAGAATATGACAAAGTGCGTTTTAGAACCACCGGTGGTCCCAAGGAGTCGAAAAGGTTACATTTTTTTTGGTAAAAACAGTGTTTTGTGTCATATTAAGCCTGAATGAATAGCATTTACAGTTTGGATAACTTCACAATTGAATGGTTTCAGAGCTATGAAAATGTGCTATGCTCTTTGTGACTTTTTGTCTCAGGTTTGAAATAATCCAACATCAGCATATTGGTTGCTTTAGTTAAGCGCCATCTGCTGGCACAAATGCAATATGGCTGTCGCAGGCTGCTGCAATGCTTACTGCAATGCTTACTGCTAATGTATTTTTGCTTGCACCAACCCTCTAGGTGGTGGACCATAAGCTCTACGGGAGTCGAGCTGAATTTGATAGCACTATAGACCATGTCCTGGAGGAGTTCGGAGTGGAGGTGGTTTGTCTTGCTGGCTTCATGAGAATCCTCACTGGGCCCTTTGTCAGGAAATGGAATGGTATGGAAGCGAACTTAAACACCAGCTAATGTATAAGTATGCTCTCATACTAAGCCCTCTGTATTATTAACCCTCTATGGCTGTGCCTGGTGGGCTGACATAATGAAGTGTAAATACATTAATACTGGGACAAATGGCTTTTCTTTTGAGATGCTTTGCCAAGGAATTCCTTGCAAATACATACTGCAGAAATATTAGCTACCATTTATTAACTTTAACCTGTCCTGGCAAGCTAAGCTAGCACTAGCAATGGCAACAGGCTAACAGCTCTGCACACAATAGTACACTGTTTTTAGCTATATGAGCTATTAGCTGGTTAGTTAAGCTAGTACTAGGCTAAGAGCTCCACACACCATTAAACAGTTTACTAGACAGATGAGCTGTTACCTGACTAGCTAAGCTAGAACTAGCATGACAACAAGCTAACAACTTCACACACCATATTAATCTGTTTATTGCATATATTTAACTGGGCCCTGCAGGACAGCTGCCGAAAGGATCCCAGCAAACAGGGGTCCATGAGGGATCCTTCTGGGCCATGTGGGGCAGCTACAGCTGTGTTTTGGTGGTAACCAGCTGTTTTCTGTCTGACAGGCAAGCTGCTGAACATCCATCCATCACTGCTGCCTTCCTTCAAAGGTGTAAACGCACAGAAGCAGGCCCTGCTCGCTGGAGCTCGGGTCTCTGGCTGCACCGTCCACTTTGTGGCTGTAAGTTAACCCTCTTCAGGGCATCTGTGAAGGTGCAGAGCACTATCAACCAGTGATGTAGAAACAAATGTAGTCTTTTTGATGTGTTTTTTTCAGTGAAATACACCCATTGTTATTTTAGCAGGTTCACTTGGATTACTGGTTCATTTGTCATTCTACAATTGCAGACTGTAGTTCATCACCTGTTTGTCTGCATAATCTGTTAGCCCCCCTTTAAGGGCATCCTTAATGGTCAGGACCCCCAAAGGAATACCACTGAGCGAGTGTTATTTGGTTGGTGGGGGTCCTGACAATGGAAGAACAGGGGGAAAAAGGGGCCTAACAAAGTATGCAGAGAAACAGGTGAGCTACAGTTTATAATTGTAGATCTACAGAGTGCACCTCTAGTGCTCAGAGGTGGTTCCAGGACGCTCTCAGAACACAGTTTGTCTTGTTTTTTCATTCCGCTACAATCATTTATTCTTTTGTATCCATCAGAAATGTTATTCTTAGAACAGTAATAATGGCCAGGTTAGTATGTTGTTGGTCTGACATATTTAGATGTTCGACAATTTGTAGATTTGTAAAGCTGTACATTTCTAAATATTAATGAAATGAAGTCAAGTGTGTTGGATGGTGGCTTTCCAAAGGTGGTACTGGAGATCTCAGGTTTGAAAATTTGGATTAGTGTCCCAACATTTTATTTTTTTTTCTTTGAAGTGGGGGGGGGGGTTAATGAAAGTCTTCTGGTTTGCTTTTTAGATTACATGTGGGCATTTTCCATTTTCCTTAGTCAGAGTTAACATCCTCAGTAATTACAATTTACAACCTTCAGTCGAACATAGCATTTTCACTTGGTGTAATTTCACCAGGGACACCCAAACTTTTGTATACAACTGTAGTTTGGTCCATTTTGCTAAGACTAATTGATGCAGTATAAGCTTCCATAGTAGCTTCAGAGCAAAACTAAAGAAGCAAACTAAGGACGCGGAACACCTCGGCTGGCTGACTACATTTGTGGTTCCACCCAACTATTGCTTTAGCTTTTTACAGCTTAACCTTTTTAATTGTCTTGTATTTAACATTCTACACACTATTCTGAATCAACAGGAGGAGGTGGACGCAGGAGCCATCATTGCGCAAGAGGCCGTTCCTGTGCTGATGAATGACACAGAGGAAAGCCTATCAGAGCGCATCCTAGAGGCAGAGCATCGGGCCTTCCCCACCGCTTTAGAACTCGTAGCAAGCGGAGCGGTCAGGTTAGGGGAGGACGGACGCATCATGTGGAACCAGTCAGCGTAGAGATAGAGCAGCAAAACCTAGGGCATGTTCAGCAGAGCTAAATTATAATGATTACACTTGGTCAGCTAACATACAGGATCTAATCCAGCATTAATTGTTCCTTTGTCTTGTAAACAAGGCTCATTTAGATTTCCATTGCTGGGGGCACAATTTAAATCCTGTGACATTTCATTTCATCCCTTTTTGTTGCCTTTTTTGCTGATAAATTGTAGAATGCTCTTCTCTCAGTTTTGCAGGGAGTTTAATTGTTACATCTTTCTATATCATGTACTTCTGAACATTCCATTTAGAATGAAAAATTCCATTAGTGACTTTTTAATGGCTCACTGTGTTGTGTTGCAGGAGTTATTTTGACACTACTTAAATATTCTTTAAACCCCCTGGTGTGAAAGATACATTGCATTAGAGTTTCTCGGCTCTTAAAAGCAGAAAGAAGATATACAAGTCATGTCTGATGGTGAACTGCAATAGAACTGTACAGTTGCTTTTTGCATGTAACAGTAGGTACTGTGACATTTGCTTGGCACTGCTGGTATTAAATCTTGATATTGAACTTGCACAACTGTAACAACTTTGGTCTTGGACTTTATTTCTCCTATGAAAGTTTAAGAATGAACCAGTGTAACATAACTGTAGTCATTTTCTTGCAGTGGTTAGTTGACAGTTTTGAGCCTTCTGTGCCTCTAGAGAGAATTTGGTGTGTTGATGAATTCTGTGCTGCTGTTGTAGAGTAATGGTCGTAGTTTCAAATTTGCATTATATAAATCAGCTTATTCACAAAATTCAACAACTGTCCATTGGCTTCTATTATAAGTGACTTGTGAGTGAAAAGGTTTTCTGTTCTTTTCCAAATACAGGAAAAAGTCAGTTATTGTTCATGTTTATCACAGTTTCAATACAGATACAGCATATATAGATCAGGATTTAAAAAAAGACTAGAACATCTTGAATTCTATATAATCTTTGGCTCATGTAATGTGTAATTCTTTTCAGCTGAAGCATCACTGAGTGGGATACATGTACCTCTATACCTTTTAGCCAGGATAGGGTTTCCCATGGAGAATCTCACAGAGCAAGTCTGGAGAAGGAATTTAATAAAGAGGTAAGAAGTAACACTGGAGACCACCCCACTCCACTGCCTCCTCTCAGTGAGCTCAGATTGCTGTTTGTTTCATGACACTTAAAAGAAACTCAGGCCAGCTCTCCTTCACTCATTTGGAAAGAGGATTTCAGTCAGTATGTAGAACACTACTGATTTCAGTATTCACTGTCCGGTCGTGTCACTCTTGCTGAAGCGCAGGATGGACAGCTTCTCTCTTCCAGCCTGACGGGACAGGCACACCTTCCCTCTCAGTCCAGATTCCCCTAGAAGAGCTAAAATCTCCTCTACATGAAGAGACAGAGTCACATCAGCAGCAGTTCAACAGAAGTAACTAAATAAATCTATGTTGAAAATTTAGGTACTGACAAATAACTTCACCAGCAGTGTTGGGGGGTTCACATCAAATAAGTGAATGAATGAATAAATAAATATATATATATATATATATATATATATATATAGTAACTACCCAACGCTGTTTGCCAGTACAAAACACAAATACTACAGTTTGATGCATCATGGTAATACACATTTATTTTAAAATTCCAGTATACACAGTTTTTCCCCATTACATCAAATCTAAGCAGTCAGCTAGGACATGTTTGTCTGAATTTGCTTCTTTTGTTTTGCAGTCGAACTACAAGGCTAATGTAACTAACACAATGTTTTTTTGATTATAGATAACACTATTGTATCAGAAGCTCTAAAAGCAAGTCTACTTGGTCATTTAATAACATGGTCTAACGTAGTTCTATATAATGAACTGATTGACTAATGCTCATGTCACATCATCCACAGTAGGAATGATAGGAAGACACATTATAAGAATATGGTCATGGGCACCTGAACTGCCAATTAGCGCAATAAAACACTAGAGGATAATCAACATTTAGACCATTGTATTGTCAATCTAGATGTAATAAGACCCTTTGTTATTTACTTTACACTCCATCATGACTTCAAAGTGAGTCAAGTAAAAACTCTCTGCTGATGCTTTCACATTAAAATCATTTGGCGTAATATAACACAGGACAGTCTCAATGGTATGTCAACCATGTATGCAGAAACCACAATTACTGTAAATAATAAAACAAAAAAAAAACTTTTGATAAGTATCTCATAAGAAGCGTGCCAAGTATCTTCGTCATCCTACCTGGGTTGTTATCTGACACTGTAACAAGGTAGAACAGGCCCTGATTGGAAAGTAACTGGGGAACCATGGGGAAGAATCTGTCCATCACCTCTCTGCCTCTCTCTCCTCCAGCCCAAGATGCCTCAATGCCATGACTGCCCACCTGTACAGAAACATTCAGTGATATCAGGCAAGAACATGGGGATGCCTCAGTAATTGCAACCCCACAATGGACTCTGAATCATTTGAAGGGTACAGTTTAGAGCAGTGGTTTTCTGTCGGCTTCATGTTAAGTCACTCACTCTAGGTTGCACATTGCCTTGAAAGTTTAAATGGAAAATAGACTATAGAAGTTATATTTATTGTTGACATTATCAATAATGTTCAATAACTTTCAGTCTTAGTGTAGTGTACACCCAGCTTAACTCATTCTGTAACATATGTACCTCTTTGGACGGTGTAACAACATATGGAGGGTTGAAAAGAAGAACATCCACCTTTCCATTTAGTCTAGGCAACAAACACTCAGTCTGAGAAGCAAAAGGACAAACACAAACAATTCATAACCACTTCTATGAAAAAGGCATACTTGGGCTAACATCAAAGGCAGTACTACAATACTAGACACAAGGGACACACTTTGATGGGCAACTACAGACGTATGGCCGTATGCATCTATGTCCACTATTGGAAAAGAAAGGAAGCAGAGAGAACTGAATGTGTCTCACCAAATCTGTAATGACTGGCTGTAGATCAAGCTTATTGCAGCAAGACGTCTCTGCTGTGCATTCGGCCGCTGCCGGGTTCAGGTCAGTACAGCTTTGACATGCAAGCACACAAACAGACAAAATAAACATAAAATGGCAAAAACACCATGAAGCTAGTCAGGTTGTGAAAATATGTCAAAGGAAGAGATTCAACTACATCAACTTTGGAATACTAGGTTAGATTATAGTAATATTACAGTAATACTGTATAAATGGCCCTTTGCATGTTTAATTGGTTCTTATATTTGATAGACAGTTATTTATGGATCTTAAAAGAACCTTTTTTAAAATGGTTTTAGATACAGTCATATGAACACCCCTGGTCAAATTACATGTTTTGTTGATCTGAAGTGAAAATAAGTGAACACATCCTCTACAGAGAACAAACCTAAATCATTTTAATATATTTACAGCAACATTATTTACAGAATTTAACATATTACATGTACCTTAACTTCTATACAAGCACATTTTGTTTATGTTAATATGTTACACTTAGCAAATAAACAGAAGTAAACAGTAATTGTACATTAAAATGTGCAGAAGTATGTTCTCTGTAGAGGATGCGTTAACTTTTCACTTAAAAATTAAATAAATTAATTCAAACATTATTTAACCAGGGGCACCAAAACTTTTGCATATGACAGTAGCACCAAAAAGTGTTACTACAGTTCCAAGTCATAGAGCCCGTTTTGCTAAGAGTGTTTTAATAAACAGTAGCTATATTTGAAATATTCGTTTTGTTTTACTGCAGTGTGGCACTTCTTGAACATAAATATGTGAAGCTATTTGTGATTTTCTATATTCATTCTACATACATCGATCCTCCACTGACATTTGTACATTTAGTGTATTTTAAAAATCATTTTAAATTGCACCTAAATAAACAAACTATGGTGAAATTTGAAATTTCATAATGGTTTCCTACTGAGTCACAATCAGATCAGTCACTGAAGTGATTTACACCCCTGGGGGCTGGCTGGGCTAACACAACAGACATGTATTATACATGTAAAAAGAGGTGATGTTAAAATGATTCATCAATTACATATTGTCACACAAGTCACACTCACAGATAGAACGCTTCAGGTCCAATCACAGATGCCAGGAAGGCAGAGACCACACCTGAGCCACTGCCCACTTCCAGACAAACAGCAGGTCTAAACACATGGAAAATCCAATTAGATCACAGTAAGATCAGATGTCTAGAGAGCAGGGAGGACGTTCTTGCTTCTAAGTCACAAGTGTCAGACTGCAGTCCTCCAGTATAAGCCAATTAGCAAGATCTTTATGAACTGAATTCAAGGCATTAGAAGATGGAAAATGCTTATCAGAGCTTATCTCTGCAGAGCTGTGGCCTGGAAGGGACCCAGTTTGACATTCCCTGTCTAGGTCTTTTGTATCAGTCAATGAGGGAAAAAAAGTAGCATGACCTTTTAAACAAGCAAGGTAGCTTGTTAGCATGACCTAAATTGATGTCTACAGAAATACAAACTTCTATCCTTACCAGGGGTTGGCAACCTAAATGTTAAGAAGAGCCATTTTGTCAAGTTAACAACAACAATCTAACCATTTTGGGAGCCACAACATTTTATGCACATTTTATTGAAGTAACATTTCACCATTTTGGCTGTAAATATGTCTCAGTATGTGCTAATATCCTAGTATAGGCTGAAAAATATAATATAAACAAAACTCCAGACTTACTTTGCTCTGCTTTAAGCTTAGTTCAGCTATAGCCGCTTTTCCCACATCTCAGACAGGAAACTTTTCCGCAAAAATTGAATAGTTTCTTGTATAATTTCTCTTAACATTTGATTTTTTTCGAGGCTGAAGTCAGCTTCACATTTACCAGCTTCTTGTTTGAATTTTCCTGTTCCACCTTAAGTCGTGCCTGAAGTGCCAGAATGTAGCTAAATATGTAGCTAACTGTTGCACCATTTAAGGTGGAATGGGACAATTTGAACAAGAAGCTGGAGAGTGACAAGCTGACTTCAGCTTTGCAACTTTTAAGTGTTTCACAGTTTCTCATTGCTGATTAAATGTATCAGGAAACCAGCTGGAGTGCTTATAAATGCAAATAAGTCCATCCCTCTCCAAATTATCAATGTTCTTCTTAAATCTTTCTCTTTGCTATTTCGTTAGCTACTAGCTACGCAAGACTTATGAGTTGCTATGGTGACCAGCAGTCTGCAGCAGCTTTCATGGTTAAAGGTTGAATAAGCAGTTTTATATATAACTCCTGCGTTTAAGACTATTTATAGTTAAAACTGTGTTAGAATGATCAGCAGTGCTTTATTTTACTGCAAAAGAGGATTATTTTATTTTTACCTAGAAATCTAATTCTGCTGTGGAGCCACAGGGCAGTAAAAGAGCTGCATGTTGCCGACCGCTGATCTCACAAACCTTGTTAATAAGTGCTATATACTTTATCCATTAACATCCATGGCCTTATTTTCTTTGTTTTCAAAATTTTTACATTTCCAGCTTCCACAGGAACTATGATGTTATTTGGTGAAACTATCAAGTAGAGCTGGGTAATATGGCAATAATAATAGTAATAATAATAATAATAATAATATCACAATACTTTAAGTTTGTCACAATATTTATTATTTCTGATAATCATCTTGTAAATTGGAACAGAGAAAGTAGCGCACCATTTATAACATACTTTCCAAAACTTTGAATCCAAGTATTTGTAATATTTTACCTTTATTAAATTAAACAGGATTAATTTTGCTCTCTTTGTAATCAAACATGCAGGTGAAAAGTGTTTTTCACTACTGACAATATCCATGATAAGTGCAGAAAAGCTATCTGTGACATATCGAGACGTAGCTTATCACAATCACGACAAATACTGTCATATTGCCCAGATGTACTATCGAGTGAAGCCAACATAGTTTTCAAACACCTCATCACAGCTATGTCACTCTTTAGACACCCACCTCCTTTGCCTCAGCAAATCAGCATCCACTTCCAAGGCATCAATCAAAAGGAAGGAGTCTTCTGCTGGCTCATACACCCCAGAGAAAGGCCCACGACCAGCATGGGCATACAAGGGAGTCGGGTACATCAGTAAAATATGTCAAGTAAGGCAGATGTGAAACATTCCTGATAAAAGAGGGAGAAAGCATTAGGCCAGGCATGTCAAACTGGGTACCTTCCAGGCCAAAGTGCTGCAGAGATTACCATTTACCCTCATATAACGCTGTGAATTCAGTTCATGAATGCTTCGCTACTTAGCTGATGAGCTGAATCAGGTGTGTTTAATGAGGCAGTGTGCTGAAGTCTGCAGTGGTTTTGTTAGCCATCCTCTAGCCTAGCGGTCACCAACCCTGCTCCTGGAGATCTACTTTCCTACCAATTTTAGCTCCAACCATAATCCATAACACTTGATCCATCCACTTATTGCCTTCAGAAGTCCTGCAGGAAGGTAGATCTCCAGGAGGAGGGTTGGTGACCCCTGTTCTTGCCCTGCTTCAGCAGTCAGTTTCTGCTCACAGAACCGCTCTTGGCTGGGTGAAAGAGCACTCTCCACCTAAACCCCTGCAGTGTTGCTGGGCCTCATGCGCTCATACCAACGCCATATACATACTACCATGGCAAAGTCACTACTGTGTTGAAAGTGGACCTTTCACCATCTAAATATCATCAACTGTGGTTCTGCAGTCCAAAACTGATTAATGATCAGTGAGGACTAACAAACTGTACATGACTACAGATGGGCTACAACAGTCGTCACCAACCCTCCCCCTAAAGATCTACTTTCCTGCAGAATTTCGTTCTAACATGCCCCCTTACCTCATACTGATGCATCTGGATCCAGCCAATCCAGGAGTTCTGAAAAAGCTAAATAGTTGGAGCAGGTGTGGCAGACTGGGGTTGGAACTAGACTAAGCAAGAAGACAGCTCTATAGGACCAGGGTTGGTGATCACTAAGCTACATTCTGTAATTGTACACCTATGCAATTGACCATTAACAGGAGAGGGGCACTTACGGCTGGATTTCAGCATAGTTTCGTGATTTCTTTGCTCCTTTTAAACCAGGGGTGCACAACTCCAGTCCTCAAGGGCCAGTGTCCTGTACATTTTGGTAGATGCCCTACTCAAACACGTCTTGTAAACCTGTCAGTTAACACAAATTGAATCAGGTGTGTCTGAGCAGCAAGATCACCAAACTCTGCTGGACACCGGCCCTCCAGGACTGGAGTTGTGCACCCCTGTACTAAGCCTACATTTGCTGCTGAATTCAGTCAGGTGTGTTTCAGCAAGAAAATCAACAAACCGTGCAGACTGCTGCCCTTCAGGACCAAAGCTATAAGGTTGGCAGAGAGTGCATACCAGTGGTAAACAGCCCTAGTCCTGGAGATCTACCTTCTTGGAGAGTCCTGTTCAGGGGTGCTCAATCCTGGTCCTGGAGAGTTTTAGCTCCAACCCCAATCTAACGCCTCATCCATGTTTGGAAGGCCTTCGGAGACATCTGAATATCAGAGCCAAGCATAATAGATCTGAAATCTCCAGGGTGGTAGATTTTTAGGACCAGGATTGGGCCTCCTGGTCTAGTTAATCACAGTCCTTGCTAATCTAGGAGATGTTTGCTGCAGGTTTCAGATGAACTCTGTAAGGAAAAGTCTATCTCCAGGAGCAGGATTAGTGACCACTGGTGTGCAAATGGGTAGATGGGCGTTTCTAACAATGTGGATGTCTGAGGTTACATTAAAGTCAAGACGTGCACTGTTAAACTGATATAAACAAAACGACTGTTAAAATCAGCTAACCCACAAAATCTCACCACAGCCCCAGGTCCCTCACCAAAACCACTGTAAAAGGGCTGCTGAGCACGCGAGGGGAATGTTTTCCTCTTTAGTTTTATAGTTTTATTTTCTCGGAGCTGACATGCAACGATGCTGATAGTTAAAAGGCCCAAGAGTGTGAAAGCTGTTATACAAAATGAGAGGATTAACAGAAATCGGTTGTCTGACGTCTGGGCGAAATTTACAGTGTCTTAAACGAACTATATAAATCTCTATAACTGTCCATCTTCAGCGCACCAAGTCTTTCATCACGCATAATACAGTTTACATCAGTTTGGCTGAATTTAACAGGCTAACTAACAGTACAGAATGGTGTTCAGACGAATGCATCGACACAGAAACACATTTTAATTAAGCTGTAGATAAGCTGCCAACCCCGGCGTAATAACATACTTCACTGTCAGCCACGCTGGCTGAACTGACAAGAGTCATTCACAAAAAAACACTAAAACAACGGACATAAACGTTTTTCTGATAATATCTAGATATACTTTTTAAGAAAAGTCCCAATAAGTGATGAGAAATCAGCCTTAGAGCTTCCCGTACCTTTTCGCCTTTCAACCGCACTGTTTTGAAAAGCCACATGTGCGTCTTTCCACTTCCGGTTGCTCCCTCGAAGCATTGTGGTAGTTGTAGTTTCAGTGAGAGTAACGACTAGGGCTGCTCGATTCCGGAAATTCCGGTTTTTGGAAGATTATTCATGGGTTTTCTGCGGTTTATTAAGAATATTTAGGGTTTTAAGAGGTTTGTTAAGTTGGAGCCATTTAAGCTAACTGCAGTAATTTTCCACAGTCATTAGATATCCATGCTGCAACAAACAGAATTAGATGGCTAATTAGATAAATTAAGTAGTTTTTTTTTTCATAATGGCCAAATAATTATTAATAATAATTAAATCACAACTATTTATATAACAGTTGTCAGCTAAACATTCATTGTCATGAGAGCCCTTACAATGGGTTTTTGTTCAACGTTTAACACACTGCACTACACTGAATGCAGATAAACAGGACTACTTATGCTCTTTGTAATGAAACATGGAGTCTGACGATATCCACAATGTGCTTAGAAAAGCACTCAGTGACAACACGTAATTCATAATGATAAATACAGCCATATTGCTCACCCCTAAGTAGACCTACACTGTCAATCAAGTTCATAATATGCCATTATGATTTATGGTGTGAATGATGAGGGATCTTGACATTAACTTCATATGCTACCACCTCAGTTGTTCCTCAAGGACACAAGATATCAGTTTTAAATGACTTATTTGACCATAGCAAGGCAATTTAAGGACCTCTAGCTAAATTATCTTAGCTAACTAAAAGGAGATAGCTAACTCTAACTTTTCCTGAGTCTTCTTAGTCAACTCTTTTGCTTCAATAAATGTGGCAATGTTGACTGATTAAGCCACAATTTCATACTTTGTTTTCCACTCTGTCCATAGTATCTGTTGTCTATCTATAAAAGTAAATAATAATGAAATAAATTAAATAAAAGTTCAAAGCTTTTGCATCGACTCCCGAGTCTCAAATGCCTGAGTTCAGAGAATTGACTCGTTTTGAGATCAACTCCCACCTTGTAATGGTTAGTCTGCATTGACTTCAGAGCTTATTTCACCTTTCGCCAAACAAAGCCATAATAACTGGGTCTTTAAGGAGATTCACACACAGTGGTTAACATATAGCTACACACACACACATATAATATATATATATATATATATAAATATATATATATATATATATATATATATATATACATATATATATATACATATACATTTGCACTTGTTTTTTTTTTAATATTTACCATTATTTATCATTTCAAGGAAGTTCTGAAATTAAATTATAATGAGCAAACTGTTTCCAGTAGCATTTGTAGCCTGCATGTCATGGTTACATAATGGCTTGAAGATGTAGGGTGTGGAAGAAGCCAAACCAACAATTTGTGGTATTTTAATTTTGCAATCTACGGCTTGCCCTCGCGACCCGAAGAGACATGCTGGCGTGACCATTTTTCTTATAATCCAGCTAGCAGATTTAGCATATTATGTTACCAGACTAGTCAGTTTACTGTTGGTGTTGAAGGTGGCGCCAGTGGCTCTCCAACCAATTTGATTTTCTACCTATGATTTGTAGGCCAACTTTTAAAACAAATACACAGTCCTGGACAATTACAGACTAGCAGAGAAACATGAACAATTGCCCACCTATGCCTTTAGTTTGACAAAGATGGCATTTTACCACAAGCAAACTTTTCTTTTGAAATCTCCCACCCCCTTTATTTGCTCTGGGATATGGGGAGGCACTCCAGATGGTCTCAGTTAGACACTCCAATGTGCTGTTTTACTCATTAACAGTCCCCATTCAGTCCGAATTATAGACACGAGAGGGACACATAAAAGAGAGGGTGTAAAAACGTGTAATTTTTTTCCCTTTTTTTTTTTAGAGCTCAGAGCGATAAGGCAAACAAACTTGTTTTTAATTTAGACATTTCTTGGTCTCCAGAGGGCCAAGCCTTTATAAGGGCCACACGCACCAGAGTGGAGGCCAGGCCAAGCTTGGAGAGCCGAGCTGCCACGCTTTACTGGAGGAACTGATCCAATAGGGAGGGATTTGCTACAATCTATCAATAGAAGCAGTGTTGAGAAACTGTGCTGAGAGAAGTACCTGCATAAATGTGTGCATAATACTAATGACTTCCAAATAAAATATGCTTAACTGTGTCAACAAAAAGTTTGATCCTCAAGTTTGACCTTTAAAATGCACTTTTGTTCCAATGACAGTTTGAATAAATGGAACGGAAAGTTCCTTCTCCATGGAAAAAGATGAAAAATTGAGTCAACAGATGGCAGCATTGATCCATGTGGAAATGTTTTGAGGGCCCTACTTTAGTTCAAAGTTTCAAAGGGGCTTTGATTGTTTTTGCTGGCAGGAAGAGCGAGCGAAAGTGAGAAGAAGGTGATCCATACCCTGTGTTGGCAAAATTATCTATCAAATTTCTTTTCTTAACATTTACTTTCCACACCTTGAAACTGACAAAGGAGCAAATGTACACTGTTGTCTTTATTTCTAACTCTGGAGACTTGCAACCCCATCTTTAGTCCCAGGAACAATTGTGGAGTTGGCCATGAAAATCAGTCCACAGTCCTACAACTGAAACCGATACAGGTGCAAAAGCATATAATTCAAACAGTAAGAAAAACACTACCCACACTGAGCACAATAAATCAAACTGTACAAAACACTCACTCCTCCAGATAGGAGGATATCCACTGTTGCACTCCTTCAGCCTCCCAATGTTAAAGCAATACTGCTATAGAAACTGACAGCTCAAAACAACAGCTGGCAGAAGATGACTGTCTATGGTGGGACTAGATTGGTGTTAAACTTTACTTGTATGTTCTTTTGACTTTTGACCGGTATGTTCACAACCGACATACATTGTTCAAAAAAAAATAAAGGTTCCAAAAGGGTTCTTTGCTGCCTAATAAGAACCACCAAGTTGGCAACCCAATTTTCTTAGCTTTTTTCAAACCATACACCTTAAAGCAGTATGTCAATAGTGCACACCTAGAAATTAAGCATCTTGTTTTTTAATTCCTTGCCATAAAAAGCCAGTGTATTTACATGTACCCACCTATTCAGCCTACAGCTGTTTAGCCCCACCCATTCAGTTTAAAGTTATAAGGAGTGTTGTAGCACTGACTGCTTTTTGAATGCGGAATAATACAGAGCAGCCAGTCAGAACAGGTCATTTACATATCAGTTTTAAAGTTACAGTAACATTAACTTAATTTAACTTCAGTAAGGGACGAAAGGTTAAGCCTGTTTAATTTTAAGGGACAAAGAAAAGGTAGAAGACGATCATGCAAAAATGAATTATGGCTAGTTTTGGCATGTAACTTATGCAAATGTCCTATGGACCTTGGGGATAAAAATAATAATAATGAAGAAAAAATCTTGGACCTTTTTTAGAAATCAGATGTGGATATGACTAAAGAACCTTCCACATAAGGTTATCTACCAATTAAAGCATACATCTGAGCCAAAAATCATTATGGAACTTTTATTGTTGAGAGCATACAGTATTTTTTTGGTATTTTAGGTGAGAGAAGCTGATCCTGGCATGACAGTCAGGTGGTAAATAGACTCACGTTCTTTCTCTTCGCTAAGGCAGCTGATCTGCACAAGGGTGTCTAACGTATCCCAGACTGCTTCGTCTTGACTGTGACCTGGCCGTGATCCACAGAAGAGAGTATTTAACACTTTCCAGACTCGCTGGCCCCAAAAGGCCATCGAGTGAGCGAGTGAACGAGTGAGTGAGTGGGTGGGAGGGTGGGTGAGTGGCGGGGGGAGGTTGAGACCCCAGAAGCATCCAGCTGACTCCACAGAATTTAATTCTGCTCTATTTACCTTTATTTTCTCAGTAATGGAAGTCCTGGAAGATCTTTGTTGCAAAGAGAGCTTGGCAACATGTCTATGTTGAGAACAGGCCTACAGGCTTTTTAGAGTTTGCAGTATTTCCCAAGAATGTGTGTACTCTTAAAAATGAGGGTGACAAAGGAGTTTTATAGTTGGATGCTATAGAACTACTACTTTTGGTTCCCCAAATAACTTGTCAATGGGTGGTTCTAATGTTTTTCTAAAGTTAATGTTTATCTGCTGCGTCTGTAGCACACTGTTGATTACCACAGATAATAAATGGAACATGTTTCGCTGAACTTATATACAGAGATGGCGACCCCTGAGCAGAAAGCATTTTGTGTACTCCACTTCAATAAGATTGAATCCGTCATAACTGCGCAACATGATTTTCGTCGGCAGTGAACCTCCAACAGGTCAGAGCATTCGTCGCATTGAAAGAGCCGTAAGTGCGGGACACCCAACATGCTCAATCGATGAATTTGACTATTGCGTTGATGTTATCCGTACAGCTGGAGGAGGAGCACTTGTAAAATTATATCATAAGCTTTATGCTCATTTAAACAATAAATTACTGCATTGTTCTGTAATGATTTACAGGTTTACTGCATTGTTCTGTAATGATTTACAGGTGAAATAAATCATTTTGAAATCAGATTAATCTTTTTTAATCACGCTGTACTTGGGTAGAAGTAATAGTATTATGATTTGAAAGTAGGAGAGTACAAATCCATCAGTATTATACTAATGGGCATGCACTTGAGTAAATGGAACTAGTTACTACAGAGAAACATGTTATTATTGTCTGTGATAACCAGACTGTACAGATGTGGCATAACCAAAAGTGGTTCTTCTAAAGCATTACACCAAAAAAAGTTTTTGGCATCTTTTATTTTTAAAGTCAACTTGATTCAGAAATCATAAATAAAATCGGAATCAAGTTTCTGTGTGAAACAGATTCAAGGGGGTCTCCAAGCTAGGTGAGCTTTTTCCTTTGATGGGCACTACCCATTATCCACCTGGCACGTGTCATTTGTGCTGTGTGGACATGGTTTTCACTCCATTTATAAGCAACACCTGATCTGGTGGTATGCTACATTTGCCGTATGAAATATATGGCTCAGTTGCATTAAATCATAACAAATGCCAGTTGGGAAGTAAAGGTGAATTCAGAAAAAGA